GGGGCGGCGGTCGAGGAGGGGCGAAGGACGAGGGACGAGGGATCGTATGGGTTTAGAGAGGGATGGGTGAGGGGGAGAGGCGAACGGGGCCGTCGGGGCCGACGGGGCCGACGGGGACGAGGAGTCGTTGGGAAGGGGCTGGCGGTGCGATGGGGCTCGACGCCCTGGTGCTACTTACGATAGAAAAGTGAGCGATGGCGACTCACCAGGTTCTCAGAGGTGCGTTGAACGTTTGTCAGAGGCTGGGCTCGGCAACCAGTGGCCTGGCGTTAGCTGCTGAACGTTCGCCGATCGTCCGTATGTGTATGCAGGCGCTCTTCGCCGCCGATGAGCCAAGCGACGCGAGCTGGAAGCTTCTCCTAAGCGAACGCATTAAACGGACCGTTGCAATTTCGCGTTCCGCGCGCCTTGAGCGTCGACGTCTTCGTAAGAACATGAGAACCCGGGGTTGGGGGGCTCCGCTGCGAGGCTGCGACGTCGACTGCGGCTCGATCTGCCCCGGGGATATGTCAGTCGCTGTACGCCAGTGTGTCGGTGCGCGTCCGTGTGATGCGTACGGGGGGATGCGGATGCTTGTATATGCAGCGATGCGAAGTCAAAATTCGGCCATGTTAAATCACTCTTGCGAATACCACCGCGAACAATGTGCGCACCAACCATCGGCCGGACACGATCGTCGCATTTTTTCAACCTCTGTCCCTCTCTTTATCTCCTTCTTACTCCCTCTCCCACCCTCTCCTCGCTCTCACTCTCTCTCTCTCTCTCTCTCTCTCTCTCTCTCTCTCTCTGACTCTTCCCCCACTTGTAATATATATATATATATATATATATATATGTATTATATGGTGGCGAATGTGCACCCGTGTTTGGCTGTGATCGCTTTGCGTGCGCGCGTGCGCTTCCACGCTATGTATAGCGTTCTCCGTCTTTAGCTCTCTCTCTCTCACTACTTCTTTCTCGAGCTAATTTCTTCGCTTTTATCCACTGTCCAATTGATTTTACGCGTTTGTATATCTCTCCCACTTTACGATTGGACCGCGATCGATGTGCGTCGCCTTGCACCGAAAACTAATGTATGTTTTAGTTTTATGTAGTGGGTAAACGAGAAAACTCCGAATTTTGAGAAGTGGGGGAATTCTCGCTGGGTAAGCACTAGCTTCTCAATTCCTATTTTATCAACCTCCTACTCAGCCGTTTATTAGGCAGTCATAGGGAACTTTAGTATTCAGCTTCAGTTTCCGAAACGTCCGATGATTAACCGCGATATTACTAGATATTATAACCAAGTGGCTATATGTATATATATATATATATATATATATATATATATATATATATATATCGAGAAAATATATCACCAAGTTTGACAATTCATTGGAATATATTCTGCATCGATTTAAAAAATTTTCAACGAATTTCCAATGGAATTTCACACGCTTTAGCTGAACTTACTTGTTTCTCTTGTTTGTACGGTATGGCGAAAATTTTTCAAGTTCTTTTTTAAAGTACTAATGATTTAATTTGTGAATAAATTTACTTTTAACTATTATTAAATTAGATAGATTTATGAGATACAATTGAATAGCCATTTTTATTGGGCAAGAATTACATTATCATAGAGATACGGGAATAATTTTTAAAAATATATATATATATATATATATGTCTTAAGAACGTAATGTTACATTAAATTTCATAATTTAGAGATTTAGAGATTTAGAGATTCACATGGCGATTTGTGCCAATTTGAATTATATTCTTAAAATCGTTACTTCAGTTAATAAAAAAATCTATCTAATTTAATAATAGTTAAAAATAAATTTATTCACAAATTAAATCAGTATCAGTAACAATACAATAATGCGATATTTGATTTAGCTTTTGAAATTAAAATTCTGTACTTGAAATGACAAATTTTATTAATTTAATCAGCAATGAAATGTTTGATCAACAGCATTAATTCTCAATATATAATTTGACACATTCAATAACATTAACATAAAAATAGTCAAACAATATCGGATTAATAATACAAATGGTATTTATGACGTGAAATTAATATTAATAATCAGCAATGGTACGAAACATTTTGTTTACTTAAAAAATATTTACACGTTTGTTTTGCACGAGTGAAATTATACAACAAAGTTGAACATTAAAATATTTTGTATGGGATCGGATATTAATGTCGTCCTGGTTTGTATGAGATGCTTTTAGCAGCCGCGACGAAGGTGCAATAAGTTTCATGAGTAAGCCTGAGTGGCCGGAAAAGCACTTTAATTGTTTTTCCTCAGTCGAGGACATACTTTTTGTTAATTGTCAATTTATTCGTTTCCTTTTATACACTCGAATACTCGAATATTCCAAGTCCTAGAGGCGGTTAGGATATTTATATTATTTGTCACTCAAAATTTTTCGATTCATCGTCAAAAATAATTTTCCATATTATTTAATCAGACGTATAATTAGTATATTAATCACATGTATCCATTATTACAATGAAATTATTCATTTATTATATCGAAATTTATAAATAATTATATACATTATATATTAGTTATTTTATGCCTTCTAAGAATGCGAGTCAGTTAATAATACTTAGTAATAACGAATGACCTTCTAGTTCTTTGTGTACATTATTTTATAAATTGCTGAAATTATATCTTATAAAGTCTGAATTATTTTTCCGATATTTTTAATTACGTTATGGGTTGAAAATTTTGAAATATATTATTAAATTTTCAAATACGATAATTATTTACGTTTTTTTTTCTTATTGCTTTTTTTTTTTTTTTTTTTTTTTTTTTTTTTTTTTTTTTTTTTTTCATTCAGACTTTATTGAAAAACGATGTTTTTCTTCAATGTTTATTCGCATGGTATGGCTTTTCTGATAACGACGGCCGAATTTATATGTGCATTTAACGTCTGAATAGTCAGATTCTTAATGTATTTTACTTTTATATTTATAATAATTATAATTGTAATTTTATGAAAAATTATTTGAAATTAATTCCTTAAATATTATTATTAGAAAATACAATATTTTTAGAATACATTGAAATTACTAGATTAGAAGTTATATTTGAGTCAAACTAAAATGAAAATGAAAATTAAAGTAAGGTTAAAACAATTTTATTACATTCTCAACGCTTTCGACAATATGTCATATTAAAATTTATGATAATATTTTTAAAATATGACAATTTGTATTAGTTTTGTTTTCATTCGACATTAAGCGCGATATTCATTTAATAAGAAACTCGAGGAACAGGACATCTTTGACTTTAACAATTATAATACTTTTAGAATTTTAATTGTACGTAGCATCTTTTAAGATAAGATCTTGTATTGAAAAAAGGCGATTAACATAATTAGTCTTTTACAATATTTTTCTTCTCTAACAAATAAAATAGTATAATTAAAATTTAACGGAAAATGCGCGTATACAGGCAGTATATAGTCCCTATAGTATTATCGATGATTTAACGATAAAGAGTAATTTATTTTAACTTATAACATTATATAAAGAACCTATTGATTTAAATATGTATTAGCTATAAGATTAATAATTCAATATTTATTATTTAAGTGTATAGATTGTGTAAGTATATATGTGAAATATGAAACCAGTAATACATCAACTAAAATACTAGTTTAAATTAGATTTTCAAGTATGAAAATGTTGCTTTTTTCGACTTTGTAGGCGTTTGTTATATGCTTTCTTATTATATGGTAATATTTTTTAACGTATACGACAAATACAAAGTCGTACGCGATAAGGGCTATATGTACCTTTCTTATTTACAATATTTTCTTAGTGCAACGTAAAAAAAAAAAAAAAATCGTTATAAGATCAAAAATTGAATAGACACAGAGTTTTCTATTTTATCTATATATATTTTGATAATTGAATATCTAAATCGTTGTTTGGACGTTTAGTCATGTTCTTGGAGATATCGGGTATTTCAAATATCAAATTAAATTTGGGATAAAAAAGTGAAAAGATTATAATTAACGTTAACTGAATTTATCTCTCTTTACACGAAGAGAGTTGGTAAAAAATTGTGTTTCGGGCATTATGTGCGCGATAACGCGAGTATGTGCTTATTGTTTTGGAAATTTGGGGATATATTCATATCTGATAATATAAGAAGAAAATATTTAAAGAGACATTATTACTAAAATTTGTATGAATCAATAATACTTTAATTATTATTAAATTAATTGTCTGTAAATTATTTTTATAATAATGTTCATTATTTAATGTCAATAATTAATTTATATCTAAAGTTTAAAAGACTATGATAATGCACCTATAATATTTTGTAATATTAGGATATTATTATGAATAATATGAGTATTAAATTACTCAATATTAGTGAGTTTAGGAATTTTTTTAGGCTATACTAAACTGATATTATTTTATCGATATTTTATCGTATATTAAGGATGGAATTGGTATTTTTAATATCTATTTATGGAAATAAATATCTGTTTATTTCTCTATAACTTCAAAATTCTACTAATTTTCTAATTATATGAACTGTATATTTTATTTTAAACGTTCAGAATATAAAAATATTAATATAAAAATTTTCTTCTGTTTTTTGATAAATATTATTAGGTGCAATTTTGTTTATCATTGTCATTACCAGTTTTATCGGAAACAATTATACTATTTTTATTTAATGCAGATCTGAATATGTCTTTCTTTTGGTCATTCTTAACATTATATTTTTCTTTTACCTCAATTTATATTATTTTCTCGCGTCATATCTAAGTAAAATAAAAACATAAAAAAAAAAAAAAAAAAAATTCAAACGATTCAATCAAAGTTATAGGGACTGTATAATAATTTCAATTGAAGAATTTCATTGAGAATTGTATCGGGACATTTTATTTGCTATGGACATAGATCTAGGTATACGAGCTTATTTTTATCACTAATAATAATATCAGTTATAATGAGAAATATTTCTACAATTATAATCAACAATAGGAATCATGGTTACTTTAGTAAATGGAATAAAAAATTTAATCCTGTCTGAGTTTTTCCATAAGAAGTAACGTAGAGAATTTAAAATGAAATAAAGGGACGCCCATTCGCATCTTTGTCAGAAGTGTTCCTCTAACAATATAAATACCTTAATATAAGATAAGCAGATTATATAAGCACTTTCGTGCAACATAGAAAGCACTTATCGCTCTTTTCCAAAAAAACTTCATATATTGTTCGTTTCCAATATCTTAACTTATTCATAAAAATTTATATTTATTTAACGAAATGCTTTCAAGTTTTTATTTTATAAAAAGAAAAACTTTTAATTTAATGATTACAAAATAATTCTTCGGTTCATCATAATGTAAATTACATTCTTTTATTTGATTAAGAAAAATATGTTTAAGTAATTGGAAAATATAATTATCGATGGTGAAATAAACTTCATAATATCTCATTCGTTTAGAAGAATGAAGAAAATTTTCTGTTGAAAATTCTAAATTGATTAACTAATAGCATAGTTTCATATAATTTTAATTTGAAGTTCAAATTATGAGCATTTTTGAATAAAGAATTATAACATTAAATAATTAAAATAGATCGATAGTATAATTCAGATATTAATTTAATTAAACAGCGGTTTTAAATCTGAATAATAGCTAATATGTAACACAAAAAAAATTAATAATGTTAAACTTTCTATCTAAAATTAATATCTATGGATAATTTAATATTAATATATAACATCTTTATTTTTAATAATTTTCGTTTGTTTTTTAAATTGATAAAATCAGTTAAGAACTGTAAAATTAAAATAAATTTTCAAAATTTCAAAACCATCATAATCCATGTATCTTTTGTTTTTCATTATTACATATTAATATAAATATTATTACATCGAATTAAATTCAAGTAAATTATTTTCTATCTAACATTGGGTAATTCATTTTTTATACAACTCATTATTACGAAATTATTGTATTATATAAATAATACAATATAATTGCATATGTTTATTCATCAATATTTAAAATTTGATCAAATTTAACGTTATTTTTATAAACTATTATTACGAATATTAATTAATTTAGTCTATCAAGGAATATCATATGTTTCGATGATTTTATATTGAATTTTTTTTTTTTTTTTTTTTTTTTTTTTTTTTTATAAAAAACAATTAAAAGTAGATACGAATTGAATCACTAGCAAATTGATCATATGATTAAATCACTTTAGGAAATTTATTTACAAGCTTATTATTATTATAAATATTAAAGCGATTTATTATTATAATTTTGAACATTAAGTTAATTTTAAGTAAACATTAAAGATTCTTTTTATATTAAAAAAATTTTAAGTAATTATATATATAATTTTTAAATTATTCTTTTCTAAAATTTCATGGACATTGTGTATTATTGGCTAAAATACTTATTAATGTAAATTTTTAATCAAGACAGCAGTCAACCGTAGAAATAGATATTTTGTATTAATATTTTATTGATATCAATTAATGATTTATATATCTGGTTATTATTATTTTCGTCTACATTCATTTAAATTATATTATTTTTATTATTCGAAACGAAATTTTTACTAATCAATAAACTACCAAAGGACGAAGAAACAAGGATAACTTATTTCTAATTAATAAACAATGTATACTTTAACGAATAACTTTATTTGAATTTGATCACTTTTTATATTTGGTTAATAACTGCTATTAGAATTCCTGATAGATCTGCTTTTAATTTGTGGATCTTTGAAAATAACGTAATAGTTGAATCCAGAATAAGATTTACATATCCATTTACGAGTTTATTGATAATAAATTTATTAATATTACTAATTTAATTTTATCTTATTAATATTTTATTAATATTAATTCATTAACAATACATAATACATTATATAATTTGCAGGTCCGTATATAAATTTTAATATTAAATTATTTATGATTACAATGACTTAAAATAACCTGTAATCTGTTATTAGAATTTTTATCTTTATTATATGAATTGCGTATGTATAATTACAAAATTCGGAATAAACTTACCATAGTTGACTAATTAGGTTACTATATGTTTTGAGATTTTCTGATCTCAGGAAATAAATATTTAAAAAGTAGTAAATTAATTACGTTTACTGAGAAGATTTAATAATCTATAATTGATAATTGATAATTGCTCTAGTTTGAAGTGAAATAAAATTAATGTTACAATTAATGGCAATTGAAAAGAAGGTGCAAGATTAATGGTCTATATATAAATTACTTTATTTCAATATTTAGAAGTAATTATGTGATGAAAAAATCTTTAAAATTGTAAAATGTGAATATGATAAGTATATATGAAAATTATAAAATTTATTCGGCTAATGATCTTTATAATCGATGCATGATTATCATAAGTGATATTTTTAATTATTAACATGATATATTTAACAAAAATTTTAATTTTGAGACCACTTTTGTAACTATTATTACATAGTCATTGACAATATTAACGGACTTTATTAATACGAGGGTGAACGTTGCTCTACTTTTGATTACTGTATTTTTTAGCTTAAGAAGCAATATTATTATCTTTATTTAGTAGATCGATCGTTTTACATTCCATATTTTATGACAAAATCAATCTGTAGATGAAATTCTTGAAGTAAATTTATCGAGAATCTTCTCTCGATCAGTGTTTATGCTATAGTTTTCAATCAAATGCATTTTTTCACAGAATATGTTCTCATATAATTTTGCATTTACAATTTTAGTTGTTTTTTGAGCTTTATTGAAATTTTTTTACTTATATTGTGTTTGTCTGGTGTAACTATATTAAAAAATCTCACATAATTTAGACTTGATTTAAATTATTTAAGATATTATAAGGAAAAATGTCGTATAAAAGTCATAGGCAAGTAAATATATAAATCATATATTTGCAGTTTTTCCAAATACCACTTAGATACGTGTGCCTTGAAGTATTCGGCGCTATAATAATTATTCCGTACCTTTGTAAAGATGTCATGTGAATGATTATAACTAGTATTTCATTGTTTGCATTAAATATATGTGTGTACGTATTTTACTTAGAAATTTCATTTACATAGTTTGCATTTACATAATACTACTAATAAAATTTTTATACTATTATTATTTACCTTTTCAAATTGTAACAATACGTCCTGCAAGAATAAACACAGTAATTTTACAGCTCTTATCTAAATGGATATAAGGCAATTTAATTAAATAATACGTATGTAAAAAGTTCTTTAATATAGAAATACTCGATTGATAAATTCTATTATTAATATTTTGCCCGAGTCAAATTGAGTTAATATTACAAAATAAAATTGAAGTTCATAGAATAAGAATTAAGTAATTAGAAGGTGTAAAGATATTCAATGAAATTAACATTGAATCGCAGTAACGCATTTATAGTTTAGCATTTGTATTTATTTCTATTTATTAAGAATAAAGATTGAATTAAAGATCGAATAAATTATTTCTACATTTTAACAAATGAATGTTATCATTATTATAGTATTTCGTATAATCTGTTATATATATATTTAAAACAATATATTATTAGTTTTCATAGCAAAAAACAATATTATAAATTGATTAAAGAACAAAAATAAATATTATATTAGCACTTGATACTTAATATTTGAAGATTTTTGTATTTATTTAAAATGTCAGTTTTTAAAAATTTGTCTTATTTATCGTTGAAGAAAAAGTATTTTTAAAAATTTCCTTGTAAAACAATATTTATAATCGGCATTAATATTATATTGATAATAAATCGATTAAACTTAATTGATTAGTATTATAAACTTAGTTGATGAGCCATTAAAATTTATTTATTATTGTTATTAAGAGCGGTAGTCTTATTGGTATCGTATATTAATTATGCATAATTTAAATGTTATTAAGTAGTTAATTTTGCAATACCGATTAGTTTTATCAGCTCCTTTTCAAAATTGTTATTAGAAAATTGATTATTTTTAAATTATTGACGGATGAAATTCTTAGATAACTTTAAACATATAGAATAATAATTAGTGCCATCATTATAGATAATATAAATATATATTTATTATTTAGCTTAATTATACATATATCTATTCATATATTTTATTATTAAAAACATTAATGATATTAATGAATTTTGTAATTTGAATGGAATGTCAATAAGTTAATAAGTTTACGTAGCTTTAGGATCTAAGTTACAGTTAATTGCACAATGTATATTTATTACTTTTCAAATTTTTAATTTAAATATTTATTATTTATTAAAACGATGCAAATATGTTATAATTTATGAAATATAAATGTCAAAAGGTGTATTTTCGAGTTAGTCGAATGAAATGAATCAAAATATTATTTTCAATTATTAAATTATTTTGAAACTTTTCAAGTTATTACTAATTTCTTATATAAGATTTTTTTTTTACGATACTACTTTTATGTATCACACGTTTGTCTCCATCTATATAAAAATATTGCGAGTACAGATGTGCAGTTATATAGTATTATTGTTTTAAAGAAATTAATATAGTATTAACGCAGAATTATTTTTATGGGTTTGAAATTATACATGGCAATATGCAGTTGTTACAATTTCTTTTATAGATAAACAAAACTATGAATCATTATATTTTGTTATAAAGTTTTTTTTTGTATAAATGTACAAAGGTACGAAAAAGGAACAATTTCCTTTTTTATTTTATTCATTAATGATACATATAAATAATATAACATAAATTGAAGATATACTAGTTTTACAAAATTAATTGCTTATTTTAAGAAAAATGTTACTTTATCGTTAGATTATTTTATTAATTAACAAATGATAAATGATATAATAGTTTATTACGAAGAGTAAATGAATTTGAGTATTGTATAAACTAATAGGTATTGTACTTCTTATAAAACAGTCGAGTGGTAAAGGTTGAAATTGCATATTCTTCTAGCATAATTTAGCATATATTTTTTAATTATCTTAATTTGTATTTTACAAATTACGCATTAGTTTTGTGTATTTATTTATTTTTTCTTTAATAATTACATATTTTTAGTCAGATTTAAATATTTTGTAAAATCATCATTGTACTCAATTAATAATAATAATTTTTATTGTTTCTACAATCGAATCTTCTTCATTGTATAATAATATTTATTTTATTATACAAAGGTTTACCATTAAAAAGTCTCTTAGCTTATTCTTTTTTTTTTTATTATTTTTTTTTTTTTTAACAAACAAGATTCGAAACCGTAGAAAATATTTTATATATGAAATTCTACATTACATAATACCTATATTCATCTCAATAATTTTTATGATTATAGTATTACTTTGAATAATGACAAAGAAATAAAATTGAACTTTGGTAGGAGTTAGAGAACGATGTTTGTCAAACCAAACAAGAGCAAAGAAAAATCTGCTAATAAAATTTCCTCTATTCTCTCTCTCTCTCTCCTCTCCCCCCTCTCTCTCTCTCTCTCACTCACTCTCAGTTTAAAAATTTTGATAATTTTGTGTGATTAAATTTGTCAATCAATAATAAAGAGTACGGATAATTAGGACATTGACAAAAATTTTCCTCGAAGGCAAGTAAGCGTTCTTACAATGCCATCAATGATGACGCATTTGACTTACAACATAATCCCAGCAGCGCCAAATCACATTCGAAGTTCGTGCAACGATATTCCAACTGAAATTGGCGCAAAACACTTCACTCCCAACAATCTAAATACATCGTTATTATCATCGATCATCATCGATCTCATCATTACGATAATGAGTATTGGCCGAGCTTAGCTCGCCGGGGCTGTCGCGTCATTGATCTCGCGGTTGGGACAAGCGAGCGCCGTCTTCCAGTATTGTTGCATATCCTTATCGATAACGAGAGGCTTGACCAGATTGTCCGTGAGCCACTGATCGATCACCGGTAGGTTCTTTTCGCTCCACTTCATCTCTCTCATGATGTTCTCCATGGCCTCGATAACGAAGGGCTCTGCATTGCCGAATTCGCTTCTGCGCTCAGCGTAGAGCTTCGACACCATGTCGTAGCCCTCTTGGGTGTTGAAAAAGCCGGTAGCCGAGCGAACTATGCCCGTCCAGAGGTTCATGCTACCGGCGAAGCGCTGCTTTATTGTGTCCCAGTGGTCGTATAGGAACTTGAAGAGGGTCGTGTAGCCGTTCGAACTGCCTGTCAGCATTGTGAAGATCAGATGTATGTCGGCATCGGTAAAATCGGCACGACGTGTGATCGCAACGTAAAGTAATCTGCAAGTAAAATTTTATGTTCGCTAGTTATCTGCAAGAAAAGTTATATTGGAATATTACTTTATCGATTGGCTATGAGTTTTCATAGTCTGTTACTGTAGTTTTGATACAGACGTTGAGATGTCTTTAATGCTAATGCAACGTTGCTTCGTACCGCTGTCGATGCATTACAAATTTTTATTGCAAATTCGGTTTAGGCTTTAAGTATTGATTGCCCAGTTTGTTTCTTGGAATTGCAGTGAAAGGCAATTGCTACTGCGATATCGTCAAATTAGGTAAAAGTAAAGCCGAGGAAACGTGTATTTATAATAATATGTTGAATTAATGATTTATGTATATAGAAACGATGCCTTACGTTTTTGCTAATCGTATAAAAATTCGCCAGACTAATAATTTACAATAAAATGGCTCCTTAGATTTTAAAAAAGGCCATACGAATATGTAAAAACAAATTAAATACCACTTGATGAAAGTAGAGAGCAAATAAATTTTGATATTATTAACGAGTGTTATTTTTTAAATTGATAATTTGTGAATACAGGACTAATCCTACGGATAGAATTGCTGTAAAATCTGAAAATGTTGATTGTATTTCATAATTAATCTCACGTATGAGCTTCTTAACATAATTGATTAAAATTATGTACTAATTGATTAAAATTATTGAGCTATTTGATAGTGCGTTTTAATAGTCATTCAATATCGCCAAACGACTTGAAGAAATTTCAAGTACACGACAATTGAGCAAAAAAGTCAGATTTCGATTATTTTGACTAGCTCGATATTCTTAAAAAAAAAAAATTAAAGATGCAATCATAAATTTTATATAATTTCGTGATAGAGCGAGGCGGAGGGCGGCGCACGCAATTTTAATTCAGCAATCGCTCGCACATTAAAGACATTTAAGATTTCATTTCTAACGATACCTTTCAATTTTAGCAGGATCCTTTGCGCAGCCAGCCAGTGTCTTCAAAAGATAAGTTCTCTCGCTTTGTTTCCTCTCGGGGCTGTCCCTCGGGAATTTAATAACACGCTCCAATCCAAAGTTCCATTCGTCGTCGGTTCCCCATTTGAAAACCGGGCAAATAAATTCGTTGGCGACTCTAAACGAGAGCAAACGAATTCCGTTTACATTTATCTCGAGCGAGCCCATTAACAATTCCTCCGAGTGGACGGCAGTGAAGGTGCAAATTTGACAGATTCGTCGAGCCTAGTCTGCATGGCTCATACATGCAAAGCGAGTACAAGCTAACGCAAAATAAACTGCCTATATAAGATAGAAGAGTGAGCGAGGCTTAGAAAAAGCAGAGGGCGAGCATAGGTCGTGCGACGCGAAGCCTTCGTTAAAGTGACTCACGGGTTGCCCTTGTCCGGCTCTTGGTCGGCCATCCATTTCTTAAACTGGTCGCGAGCCTCGCTGATGCAGGGCTCGTAACCGGCGCCGCAGAGGAAGTATCTGGCCAGACCCCTCAGGTGGGCCTTCCACGAGGGCTCCCCGGCCTGGGGACTCTCGCAGGCCTCGGTGTACATGGGCTTCAGGAGCGATCGCAGGTACGCCTGCAAAGCTCATCGCTGGCTTAGTTTCTTTAACTCGGTTCCTTCCACTCATCGACCAATCCGCTGACCATTTCACTTTATGCGAAGTGTAAAGGTCGCGATAAGGAAGGGCCTTAGTAGCCCCTTGTCATTGCACTTTGCGTAAGGTGCATAATCGGGCGGAGACGGGCGCGAGATGCATTATGAGTGTGCAATTTATTTTCGTTCGAGAGTTTAATTGGCGGTGCTCGCGAGACGTTTTTCCGCCATGAGAAATCGAGATTAAAGCATTTGTCACGGTGCTTATCTCAGGGCCTTTCCTATCGCTTACGCTAGCATCATTTGCACGTAATTTACAAAGGCCCGTATTTCCTTCATTATGTGAGCTATAATGAGAAACGGTCTAACGTCATTTATCTAATTACATTCGGATATTAATACGCGAGTCGGCAAATAGTATTATTAACGCCATATTCGTTAAAAAGTATTGCAATTACGTAAATAATCGATGCCGTTTTTCGATACGTGCGTCTTTTGCAATAAATTATTTCCTAATGCAATGTGCATTATTTCATCGTTAGTAGAATTGTGTCCATTAATGCGATAATGGATTGTAAGATTCGATAGATTAACTTATCTAGATTACGTATTTTATCAGAAGACGTTATGCATTTGCGATGCGAATTTGTTCGAATTATTAAAATCGAGACGATAATCTTAGAATAAGATAATCTTGAATATGCTGAATGTGCATTTTTTTTTCTTTTTCATTCTGCCCCCGATACCTGTGACAGCATTTATTAGAATTTTTCCATAATATTCGGCGTGCAATGAGTTAGATTTAAATCATAATGAATAAGCTAATGGATAAACGTCAATGTCGACATTTCTTATAAGGAAATAAAGGTTAAAAAGTTAATTGAAGTCCTTTAGACGCGTCGGATATTAAACTTTAATCCAGTATGATATAAGATTTCATAATGAAAAGAACAAAAATATATGAAAATTTTTTTCTTCACGAAACAAAGAGGAAATGTTTTGTATTTTCCGATAATTTGATAAATATACAATTTTTGTACCGAGCAGAAATATAGATGAATTGTAGAATAATATTACACGAACGTTTCTCCTACCACCAATTGTCCCTTGCTTTCTTTCGCGATACGACACATTTACGCGCCAGCTTACTTTGATCTTTCCATTAAAAGAATTTTTACAACTCGTCATTGAGCCCAAAAGGATTTAAACATCAAACATCACGGCCTCAATCGTAATTTCTCATGATCTTTCGAATGAAATGTTTACGAAATGAACCATCACTCCGTGACGTAATAAATTGTCTTGAAAATGATAGCTTTCGCACGCCATCGATACCTTGTTATTACCAATGTAAATGCGATTGTTAAAGAAGCCGAGCGAAACCAAATTTTCTCAACATAATTATCAAAATAATCGTCCACTAACTTCGAATTTGCCAAAAACACCGGATCCCTCGATGCGCCTGCCAACGTGATCGATCATCGGGAAGAATGGCTCCCAAACAACATGGCTCTTCTCGTGCTTTAAGAACAATGTCATATTGAGAGCAATTTTGAAGTGGAGCTCGTCGGCGTAAGCGAGATTCCAGGAGTCGTGGAGCAGCTTGGCCCGGGTGAGGGTCGGTATTGTTTCGAAGGTCGGACTCTGCAGATAGTCAGCGAGCAATTCCCAATTATGCGAGTCGTAGTTTACCGGGAATAAGCCTATATTTGTGAATAAATTGTCTTCAGGTCCTCGGCACTTTAGTTAGGTACATTCTCAGACTCAACGATGTTTATGGAAAATTGTGTGTATGGAAAATTTTTTCACGTTATTATTAATGTACTTAATTCATTCGTGATAGCTTAAGCGATTTTTTCTTTTTCTCTTTTTTTCCTCTTTTAACTATCAATTAGTTAAAACAAATAAATTTATGGAGAATATATACATTTTTTTTTCTTTTGTGGCAGCGAGGATTATAGAATTCTATAAAAATATCATCGATAATCGTGTAGCTTAAAAATTGAATGTAGAAATTTATTTTTACCCTGTTTGTGCAAATTAATAATTTAAAAATTTACTATTTTTATATATATATTTTTTTTTTTTACGAAATTCGTGAGATAAACGGATCTTGATTATTTCATAAAACGTGCGTTATCTATTAGCACGTTTATTATTAATATTATTTGATGTCTATTATGCTGATGCTCCGAACATCGTTGATTTGTAAATTGAATTATAATAATGTGAAATTAATTAAAATCTACAAGTAAGACTATAAAGTACAATTTTTCTACCAATTTCTTCGGGATTGACAACGATGAAACTGTCCTTATCGTCAATGTCACGAATGTTCAAGTTTTGTTCGTAATTGGATTTGAGCAGCCAAGCTTTCGGTGTATAATCGCTATTGTTCCACTTGTGACGGGATTGCATTACTAAAGGAATATTCCAACGATACGAGCTTTCCCAAGAATTTAGAGGATTTTGCGTCTCTCTTACGTACAGTTTCTATCCGGACAATAAAGGGTCGTTTATTACTTATAAATTTTCTTTATTTATAAATTATAAGAATAAATGCATCACGAACGAGGGTTAAATGATAAATTTGTATTAAAATGGATTTTAAAAGCATGTATTTCTCAATTCGATAAATATTATATTTTAAGCTTTATATTTGAAAGTACGTATTCGATAAAATACTGCTTATTTATTTATTTACTTTAAAATTATTTGAACCAGTTTATAATTGCCAGTAATAAAATATTGAGATTGTAAAGAAGCTTGCGAGAGTTAAATTATTAATTTTCTAATTTAATAGCCAATTTGAGCAGTATTTCTATAAATATTTATAATGCAAGGTTATGAGATTACAAGATGCATTTATCAACTGCCGGACATTTTTAAATATGATCGAGAGATTTTATTATAAATAATATTCAGGTATTTATTTAAAATATACATCAATTTACATGTTATTTAAAAGATACGTCAAAGTTGTATTGTCAAATTAAAATTGTTTTTTCAAATTTTATTAAAATTATACACGAGAAACGATTGTGCTATTAGCGATTCACATAAAAAACAATTCATTGATAGAATATTACTTATATTAACAAGTTAATTTAAAAGTATATTATAACACCTATAAGAATTAAAAAATTTGAAAATAATTCATATGAAATGAGTTGATTACTCATTTCATTTAAATTCATTTAAATTCATTAGCCCTCAAATGCCTCTAAATAATGTAAATTACAGATTTTCACTGAATAGGCAACAAGTTGCGAAACTCAAGTCTCGAGAGTAAAAAGTCTAAATAATATTTCGCGTTGAATTGAAAAAATATAAAAAATGTCCAGTCTTGTGAGCGAGTGCGTTTAATGCAGTGAAATTCTTTAAAGAAAAAAAAAAAACTCTCGTCGAGGTAAAATTAATAATTACGATCACGCTTAACTTTTCAATTTATCTTTTCCCAATAAAATAATACTCGCTGAACCCAGTAATACCAACTCGTTTAACCAGGGTGACAGTGTATCCCGGTAATGGATTATATTATCGCTTTAATGAGAAGCCAGTCAGTCGCGACTATACCTGGCTAAAGGTTATGGTGCTGTTGTTGTAATTGCGAGTGACAGTGACAAGGGGGAGGCGTTCCTGGTCTATCCAGGTCTCGGCGATCTGGATGATGGTCAACGGCCTGGGCAGGGAGCCGCTCTTCGTCGCCACGTATTTCATGCTGTTGTAGATGTCGATTGCGGTGAAGGATCGCGTTCCCCGTCCTTCCGCCACTCCTGGCCTGCACAATAATATTCGGTCGGTATGGGCATCATGTCAGCTTCATACTTCAAATAGGCTTTACCTCTATTTACATTATATATATATATATATATATATATATATTCGCTGCTTAATTTTGCATTTACTTAGCCTGGCGATACCCAATGCGTCATTCGAGGGGATTGTTTCGAAGAGACGAATTAAGCAATTAAGTTTGCCGTATTATTCGTTGAAGTTTTTAGCATTTGAGAGGAAAAGGAGCGAGGCAGGATTTATGGGCTATTGTAGTAATGTGACTGTGTCAGTGAGACAATGTTAGTGTTAATCGATGAGAATGCGATACTGGCGGCTTATTTTGATTTCCAAGGCGACAATTTTCCAGCTGAGAGGGAGAATGCTTGAAAAGCACACGGTTCTCAGCTTATTTAATGCGCAATTTGTTGACGCGCGAGTTGGAATTCAAATAGTTATTGATAAAACAGACGCTTAGACTTGAATAAGGATGTAAAAACATTTCATTTAATTTGTTATGTCTATGCGATAAAAAAATATTGATCGTGACATCATTGTAATAAATTTTTATAATTTACTTCTCTTTTGGAGTAAATAATGATTACACGTTAAGGTGCTGGGGATAACGTGATTGTAAGGACGATACATTCTCTTAACGAATACTTTGTATTTAATGTGTTGTAACGAGGTTTCAGTTTTACATTGGAAGCTTTTTGTCAAATATTTTTTTTTATAAATATTATTACAATAAATATAATAATATAGATATTGAAACGACTAGTTGCATGCGTGGAAATTAATTTCATGTAACATAATTTCTTTAAAATTTTTCGACTTTTTCAGTTCTATGGAGAATCTCGATATGTTTAGCTATATATTGTATGGTAACATTCATAAATCCGAGAAGAATAGAATTTCAATGCAAATGCATATTTCATTAAAAAAAAAAAAAAAAAAAAAAAAAAAAAAAACTCACACGGATGCTCAACCACTATAAATGAAAATATTTTTAAATTTTAAGACTATTATAAAATTAAATCAATTATAAAATCCGAATAAATTAAATTATTTTCAAATAATACTAATTATAATATGTATAATTCTCCGTTGCATTCTTCATAACGTAATTAAAAATATTTATAAACATCGTTGTTTATTATTTATAAATCGTAAATTGTTAATTATTAGCAATACATAGAGGTATGAAGTTCTAATATTATATTTAAGCAATCTTGTTTATTCATATTTGCACGTGTTGACGGTTAAGTATGATTCGGTATATTTGGAAGAGATGTTTGTACAATTATTTTATATATATATATATATATATATATATACACATATAGACAAAGCAACGACAATATCACGAATTGAAAAGCTTTTAAAACAACATGAGGATAAGCAATTAAGGATAATAAAAGAACTCATCAACTTTCTTAACAATGAATGTTTCACTAAATTCCGTTGACTTATTCCGTATAATTAATTGCAGACGTATTGCAGCGAGCTCATTGCGCGGCTAATACACGAATAAGAATTTTAAAGATAATACAGCTCAGGCAATGCCCGCGATTGGTCTTCATTTTCTTACTAAACAGTATGCATTCTCATTACATCGTATAACAAGAAACATACTTTGCCCGATAAGGTGGCCGCTATCATTTTTCCAATTAAAAGCACGCAGCGCGGTATTTTCACGAGGCTGGGGCTGCTCGCTTCCTCGCTCTCTCGGAATTTTTGAATTTCCGCATTGAGAAAAAAGGAAACGGACTTATTCAGCGCTCGTATCTCGTTTCGTAATTTTCCCTGGTAATAATTTATGCGCGATGGCTCGACAATGGCCGCATTGTTGCTCACACGATTGGCTCATGCCGGCAGCTAAACGACTCGCCAGATGCTCACTGAATAAATTATTATGTTAAGATGTCAGCGGCGACTAGACTCGTCTTTTTCGGGAAACTGGAATTTAAGGAGTTTTTAGGAAAATACTCGCCCGAGACGCTAAATACTGGCCGACTGCTTCGATTTTTAGCTCCTTTATTCGTATAAAGGACTCTCTCATCGATACTTCTCATGCTTAACTATCATTGTGCCTGGTAATATTAACACTGCTGCAATTTAAACGCGTGTGAGTCATAGTTATGCACGGGTTATGTAAAGCCGGAAAGACTATTTTAACTGCAATAAACAGTAGTATTCCGACAGAGATTAACGAGTGTTGCCGAAGAGTACATTATGTGGAATGGAATGGAAAAAGAATTGTCAATGCAGGGAAATTGATATTTTTGGTAAAAGGGTAGAATAAGTAAGAGTGTAGGTACGTTTGTAGACGTTAATTGGGGAGAAATATTATTAATCAATAGTCTTGAATTTTTTCTAAATTAAAGTTTTCTACAGCCGTAATGATACAATGGAGAGTATTTATTATTAAATGTAAAAATATCTTTTAAACTAAGACATTGTTCATCATTGTGCATTAACAATTTACAAAAATAAGAATCGAATCGTGCATATAAATTGTAATATCGCACTTAAATTTTAAATATATTTCCTTTTCTATTAGAGTACTAAATTACAAAATATATATATATATATATATATTTGTATCGTTTTTATTCATAGGTGGAATGAACACAGTGTGAATTATTAGTATTATAAATTAATATTTTTTGACTTATTTGTTTGATATTTAAAAAAAAAAAAAAAAAAAAAACGATACACACGCAAATATAATTACCAATGAATTTAGAAAATATTTAAATATAAATACATCAATGTAATACAAGTCTTATTAGACTCGTGCTATGGATTACATGTAAATTTTAGAATGAAATTTTATTGCAATATTATTTTTACTGATGTAACATGATATTTAAGCTCCACTTAATAAAATAACAACTTGTAAATTTTGTATTTATATGTTAATTAGTAAAGATGAATTATCATTACCATGTCGTCGATTGAGACTGTATTAGATGTCGCATACTCGTCTTAAAGTCCTCCTTCCCAAGAATGTAATAGAACATCCGAAAGACCAATTCGACTGCAAATTGTCAGAATAGTAATATAGACGACAAATAGTAATAAAATATTCATTTGTTTCTAACGCTTAACCGCTACGGAAATTTTACGATTACAGAAAATCCATTCCCTCCAGACTATTTAAAATGTCCGAAATAACCTTTTCATTATCTTTATTTGCATTTCAATTATGCTCTACGAATTTCAAATCTTTTCTAAAAATCGTTGATATCGTTCATGAAAAAAAAGAAAAAAAAAAAGTAAATTACATACAATAATCATTCTACAGACTCTTCTGAACGAATATCTACAATTGCCTGGTAAAATATTTCACTAATATAAGAGAACAAACGATTATAAGACTTCGTGCATGCATACGCGTATAATTTATGTACAATATCAATTTAAACCGTAAACTAGGCTAAGAAAATCGACCGTGGACAACGATTATTTGCGCAAATTTGCGCTAACGCTCGCTGCAAGAATTATTGTAAAAATTTTTTGCAAAATAATTTCTCATTCAGATTGTTATCCAAACAACCTGAAATCTAAACACAATTAATGCTCATAATCGGCTCACGCGCCGCCGCTCTCGTCAAATCAATGAGAACTTATAAATTGACATTTCGTGCCGCTTCCGATTCACAGCACACGTACACCTGCACACAAGCATAGGGGAGGCGTGCAACAATGCAGTTCACGTGCGTCAGGCGCTCGGCGCGATAACCATACCTTTTTCGTCGAGATAAAGCGACGCGAGCTCGCGCTCCAAGTGCCGAGAAAAACAAATTCTGAAATTTACGAAACATTTACAAGAAATGGCTCTTGTAAATTATAAATTAACTTTAACGCGCTGTTTGCGTAAGTGATACGAGGGAATTACGTTACGCTGAGAAAATACGATTTTGCGAATAATCTAGCGCACCCCGATAAAAGCTTCTGATCCCGTAACACGCGCAATTGCAATTTTATGGATTGGCGGATGCGACTGGAAGGCGATCCATCGATATAATTAAGCTGTACGCTTGTACGTCACCTATTCAATGGAGTTTTTGTAATTTTGAGTAATTGTTCGCGAGAGGCCTAATTACGAATGAAAAATTGACAATCGCGTGGCAGAATTTTTAGGATGGATATCGATGTTTTTGGTCAAAAAATTCACTTCCCTCACTTGTGGATGAGAACTTAGATATAGCAAAATTATCATCATAAGAGTTAATTAAAAAAATTAAGAGAAACAGAATTAAGAGGGACAGAGGGGAGCAATGATTACGATTAAAAAATACCTCAGACTGCACAAGTACTTTTGAATTTTCCTTTTCTACAATTTGCTAATTATAATTTTCATTGCTTCTAAAAAGCATTAATATCATATAATAGCCTTGGAAATATTATATATCGTTGTTAAATTTTATAATCTTTGTTATTAAAGACTCGCGGCAATCGTGCGTTATTTTCAGCCGAAATTGTTTACGCGATATATTTAGCAACAATGACATTTGCATTATTTATCCTTTCGTGGCAATGTAAATGAAATATTCACTGTAGTTTAATGTGATTTAATGTGAAAGGACAACTTATATGCCGTCGAATTTATCCCCTAAATTATTATAACATAGCACTATTTTTTTAATTAATTTTTCAACGCACACTTTACAGTCTGCTCGTGTTGGGTCGAGTTAGGTCGGTTTGACTTACTTTTTGCGAATTTTGCGTCGCGAATAATTCCAGTTCGCCTATTGGCTCCGAAGGCCTTGCCGTACCCGTAGTATAACGAGTAGAGTATATTCATCGGCCATTTACCCTTCAATTCGTCTGGATTGATCTGAAATTATACAATATAAATTTTAAGACGAAGCGAAGCTAATTTTCACAACAGACTCGCACATGCGAATAGAACGACGATGGCCAATCATTATAACATCTTCTGCTGATAATTATTCATTTCAACGTAAAGATGTTCAATACTTGCGGCCAAATATTTTGCCTAATCTTCATGCTGTTTATAGGCGCTTCGTGCTCATTTGAATGATTTTCGAAAATGAAAATCGTCGACGGGAGCTTTGAATAAAAGCCGGAGTAAACGGGTATGCCGGTCAAGTACAATAATCCGATGCGAACATGCCGAAGCACTCGTGCTCAATGTCTTACACTTCCCGTATATGGTATTACCGATTTATCAAGCAAGCCGTGCCAAAGTAATCGCAGCGTTTCATTCCGTAAATACTACGATATGGGATAGGCGCGTGCTTGCGCTTGGATGGTAATAGAGGTTGGGCGAAGGTGCCGAAGGTGCTGGGGGTGGCAAAGGAAGCGCCAATTACGGCAATAAGATAACGATTAATGTCGATCCATCAATATAATATTGGGCGAGAGATCGGATTATCGTCGAGATGCTTCGACCTCGTGATGTGTCGTGAGAGACGTGGCGGTAAGTCTACTTACGTCCATTGTTGTCATGGAGGCCAAGAAGGAGTTTAATCCCTTGTTCTCCGAGGCGTCTACCCAACGATAAGGAGTGATGTATTGACCGATCCATTGGTAAGTCAACTCGTAAGCCATGTTCCATACCAGTGGACTGCTGAGCTCGCCTTCCCTGCAAGCAGCAGGCATTTTACTTTCTTTTTTCGCACGGACGTCGAACGCTCGTGGTGTGACTGTGTAAGTGTGCAAGGAAGTAGTTGGGCGCAATGTGTGCTCGCGCTTTATCGCGTGTCCGTACACTTTTTGTCGGGCCTCGTTTGTTTCTTGTCTCGATACGCTTAAGGCATGGCTACAGCTCGTAAAGAGGCCAATTTTTTTTTGTTTTTTTTTGTTTTTCTTTTACTTTGCCGTCGCTGATTTGTATCTATCGATTTTTATATCTATACTCTTGAATCCTATTATTAATTGCAAGTAATTTTGAAGCTGCGCCAAATTGACGGAGCCGCTGTAATTTTCATGATATTCACGGCTAAACAGCCGACGAAAGCATAAATATTGTTCACGTGTGCGTGCGCACACATGCATATATAAACAAGAATGCATACGTAAGTTCACAGTAAATACATTCATATATATATATATATATATATATATATATATATATATATATATATGTTTATCTATCTATCTATCTATCTATTAACATACGCGCGCTCACACATACACGTACACGCCTATAGACACATATATTGTTCAAAGTGTGGCAGAGTGTACAATATTTCTTTAAAGCGATCCGTTATTATCGTTATCTAATTAAAATAAAGCATGTGCTTTATCGCCTTTTTTAAAACTAATTTATCTTTTAAAAAGTGACGAGTATTTAAAATAATAAAGGGGTTGCGTGTAATCGCATTAGTTCGGGAGTTTGAAATTGTTTTATAGAGAAGCTAACCATTAGTTTTTTTTATAATAAATTTCAAAGCTATCAGTTTTAATGAATTAAATTGCACGAATGAATCGTTATTTTTATTACCTAAATGAAACAAGCAGCACATCGATCTTGCGTCGTTTAAATGCAAAATTTTTTTTTTTTCTTTACATTTCAATTGTATTTAGCCACGCAGATAAATGTTATTTTCTATTTTTTTATTTTTCAATATTATTTCAAAAGTCTTTGAAGCCAATTGGAAGTATCAATTTGAGTTTGAGTGTACTCCATTTGATTAAAATCAAATGAAAACTTCTACTTTATAATAACTTTATACTTTCACACATTTTAATTTGATTATTTATTATGTATTTATTGATTATTTATTTATGTGATTTTCGATAGTTTTGGCAAGCCTTTATTATTAAACATTTGACATAATGAATGAAAACCTTGGTGCGAGGAATGTTGACCAAGGATGCGATAAAATCAATCGATTAGAACGATGAAAGCCGATGGAAGGGTTTTAGGGGAAAGTAGTCGAAAGTAGTCGAAAGTGGTCAAAAGTAGCTCACTTGAAAATCATCAAGCCCCAATTGTCGGATGCCTTGGTGGCCGTGTATGTCGGCATGGCTACGATATCGAGTTTCGCTAATTTGATCGAGCTATTAAAATACTCCTGCAGGTAATTGACAATTGTAATGATTTTGTCCGGTACGTCCTTGAGCGCCTCGACGTAGTCCTTGCGACCCCAGACACGCACCTGCAGCTCTTGGCCGTCGATCGTGTTCGCGTGCTTCGTCGGGACGATACTCTCAAAGTCCGAGATGACAAAAGCAAGCTGGTACGTTGTCATTTCCGGAGTCTGCTCGAAGTGATCCTGCATCATTTCCGGCTCACCGGGGCTGCGAAATATTGCGAAATGTACAATGTCACAGTCAGGTGTAATAACTTTAAGGGCGAATCTCACTTGGGCTCATCAGCTTTCTCAAACTTAGTTGGCGAGATTATTCATTTCAACATACGTTTGTGCGTCGCGGTGCTGGAAGATTCTTTTCACGCTAATTAACGGATGGGACATAACGAGTTTGTCGAGCATTAAGTGCAGCAATTTTATATATATATATATATATATATATATATATATATATATAAGCCACGTTAAAGTGTATAAAATTTAAATTTCACACAGTTAAATGTGCAATTAGCTGGTCATTTATTTATTAGTGCTTGTGACTTTATATCTTAATTTGTATACACTCGGTGAAACATTGTCTTATAAAGTATAATTAATGCACAACGAGTTACTAACGCCATTTTAGCTTTACTTTTCGATAAAGGAACATTTAGTGCGCCGTTTTTCACAAATGTGTGGATAAATAGTGCGACCAATTAGCTTTTGTTCATGAAAGCACAGCAATGGCTTTTGTTAACTTGTTAGAGCACGATGTAGTATCTCGTAACTGTTCCGAATTAGCAAAATCATAAATACTCAGTCGTGTCTGACAGTCCTTAACGAGGTTGATAAGTTACCCCACATCGAAGGGAAATGCAGTCGACCACATTTTCCATTCATTACTAAATGGTACTTATAGTCTCGCGCTTTCATTACATTACTCTGTATATTTTAAGCCAAATTTTAAAAGTTGACAGTGCTATATTTGCTAATAGATAGGCATTTCATTTTAATTTTCACATTGCAAAAAGTTCCTTTATGCCTAAATTCTTTATATTAATAAAACGAATGATGATTTTTTGTAACGTGATTGTCAATATATCATAACATTTAACCGATGTTCAAAAAGTAGTAATTTGATAATTTAATTATGATTCGTTTTTATTACATGAACAAAAAAAATATATATATATATATATTATAATTCAATTTCATATTGGTCATTAATTGATATAGAAAGATCGAATAAGATATATCAGATACTCATACACAGATACATAAATTCGTATTGTTTAATCCAAAATTTAAAGTCATACGGGCGAGAATTTTTTGTTTTCTTTTGTTTTTTGTTTTGTTTTTTGTTTCTTCACACATCTCAGCACGTGTAATGTATAGAGAATTGAAGAATTTTCAATAAAATAGATTTTATTTAATAGAGTGAAAACTGCAATATCCAGCTTAAATTACTTGATACAAAAAAAAAAAAAAAAAAAAAAAAAAAAAAAAAAAACTTGTAATCGAATAATTTGATTTCCCTAAAATAAATATTGTATTAAATAAATAATGCATTTATTCCTTTAGAAGAAAAGCCAAAATGTTGATAAAGTTTCGCTCGTAGTCAATGTAATATTGAATAATAATTGACTTTAAAGTTACGATTGACCTCATTCCTAATAGAATTTTAAGCTATAAGGTTGTGCGGCTTTTCCATCATAGTCAATGAAAATTATAAAATACGTAATGGTGCGAATGAAAAACTTACACAGCCACGCTTTTCTCAATCGGTGTATTGGACAGGGCCGTCATGTTTTTAGGTCGTCTAAGTATTAGCTGAAACTTGGTCTTGTATTGCAGTTCGTCGAAGCTCGGGAACATCTTGCGTGCATTATTCAGACGCAGATATGTGGCGACGTAACTGCTGCTCGTATGTAAAAAATGAATGCGACGAAGGAACGAATGCGTTGTTAAAGTATATATATAGTATATATATGTACGTATATGTATAGAAGAAATATATATTTAAACGTGAATTAATCATTAAATACATTTGTTTTGAAAACGTTGTTTCGCTTAATAGATTCATTGTATGTAACTCGTTATTTGTCGTGCAACATTATTTCCATGAGTATTCTATACGTCGAGAAATACCATTAAGATATCATATACACGGGTGTAAATCGTATGCGCGGCGACTATTATTTCATATCGACAATTTTATGAGAATTTTGAAATAAGTTTCATGAAAAATTATATTACTCTGATAATTTTTAATAATTTTTTCATACCAATGGCGTTTAATATTTTACAATAGCTTTAAGCATTAATTTTACGACTGCAAGTTTTATAAAAATTGTCATTATGCAAAATGCCCTTGAGTGCATTTTGTGAATCTTTTCACGATTTACAATTTAAAAATCCATTGCTTTTATATACATGCACGTGCGAATTATAGAGGTATACGTTTGAGCTTACTGTTTCTGTCCATTTACGTCATTATATTCATTCATAAAAAGATCAGACGTGCCGTTGGTTGTTATGTTGCCCAAGTATGTAATGTCGATCTCACATATGACGTTTCTTCTTAGCATTTGGTCAAGATGAATAACTAATTTTTTCGGATTCCTTTCAGTCTTGGAGATTCTTACGGGCGCTGGAGCCTTTGGCTCTTCGCTTAAGTTCATGAAATTTAGCTTAATATTATTAATATTCAATGAAACGCTATTAATTAGTGGCGCATATATACAATTTTATATTTTTCATGCATTTTTTCTTGAGATTGTTATTTAATCGATTTTGGCGTGAAAAAACGCTAGTTTTAAAATATTAAATTCTATACCGTATTATTAATTGTATACTTTTTAAATAAATGTTTTCTACTCCGAAGTACGTTACATAAACGCGAAGGACGAGATTATGTAAATAATTTTATATTTAGTTAAAGATAATTGAAAATAATTATGAATGCTATTGCGATAGTTTGATTAAAATAGGTCATATGTATTAGTTGCGGACATTTTACCTTAATTTAAGGTGGAAAAATACGATTGTTAATAATACAGTCACAGTCACTTAGCATATCAATTTAAATCAATCAAATGTAATTATTTTGTCACCCTCCCCGTCCATTGTTTTTCGTAACGAAATATCATTTTTCATTCCCATCAGATGGAGTGATCAATAATTATTTGAATTTTATCTCTAAATTTTGCATTTTTAATTAAAAACAGACCAACGAATACGAAAGATTTATGCTTTATTGAAAAAATTATACTAACTCTACAGACTATTTTTTATAATATTAATTCTATTATATAAAGGTTTTTTTCTTTTCTTTCACAGTACAAACTCTTTTACCTTTATATTTAGTATGTTAAAGGTTAGGTAAGGACTTAAATTATTAGTTTTGCTCGATAGAAATTTATTGGCATGAATATCTCCCTATTATGGTCGTATCTAAATGCATTGAGTTGAATTAGACTAAATTAAATTAAAATATTTTAAAGACCAGTTAACCGTTTGTATCGTCAATGTATATACTCTTATATAAAACCCTATTCATTTTACAATAATTTACTGCCAGGCTGCGACAGAAGATATATAAATAATTTCTTTGCCACTACTTCATTCAAAAGCTATATTCAATTTTGCGTTTCTTTTGTTAAATCAAAAACTTACGTTATAACTACTTATGACTCGTAGTTTCTCGAACAACATGACGATTATTTAATTTTAGATGTGAAATAGTCCACGGATAGACCACTAAATGATTATAAACTACATACAATGCAGCCCAGAAGCTATATAAATGGATTGAAACTTACAAATAAAACGAATAATATTAATGCCTCGATCGCTGCCCACGAACCAAAATACAACACAATCGAAGGTTTATATTATCAAGTGTTAAATACACATTTTCGTGCTCGACATTAGCATTCGTAATGAAATTGACGCTTCACGTATCTCTACTTCATCAGGGATGAAGGAAAGGTTGTCTCGAAACATCCCATAAAGTCCGATGATTCCCCACATGATTGAGCCCAATTAATCAAGCACGGACTCCATGGAGACCTTCGACTCTAAAACAACCCGAAAGATATTAAAGTCATGGGCACTCACGCGCTGTCGTCGGAGACGTGGACGTCGTTGAGCCGAGTCACTCGGACATTGGAGTGCGAGATCTGGAGATCCGGATGCACGTGGAGGCTTATCTTGTCGGCGCCCTCGGTCCAGGTGACGTTTATTCTCACGCGGCCCTTGAACTTCGCCTCGGTGATGAGCGGCTCGATCTCGAGGATGTAGCTCAGGGGCCAGAGGTCGTCGCAGATGCACACCCACTCGAGCTTGTGCTGCTCGTTCAAGTCGACGCTACGCTCGAGCCTCTACGGGAATGGCGCACGGAATTTTTACAACCGTTCTCGAGAAGCCATGTGCAATTGGCAAATCAATTCATTTGAAAACTCCGGCTCTTTCGCGCGGCTTTCATTGGTGCTTATTGCGTCATTATTAACGAACCGAAATGTCGATATAACGTCTGTTGTTCAATGACCTCGAATTGGCATGGCTTGGTAAGGAATAATTTTGCTTTAATTCCCAATGATTAATTGGTACTCTAATTACGTTCTGTTGGTAGTGCTGAGATAGTGGCGGAAGAAAAATGCCGAAGCTTGATAAAGGCCAAGACTTGAAAATAACATTTTTGTCATTTATGAAAGTTTAGAGTTTACAAAGTTTCGAACTTACGCGTTTCAATGAAGTGAAATATAGCTTTATAAATTGTTATTACGTAGTCGTAGTAATGTTAGCTTACTTCTAGAACGAAAATGTACCATTAAATTTTAAGAAACTGTGAGTTGAAGAATTTTTAACTTTTAAACTTTTAGCAAAGTAAAAGAGAAAAAATCTTTTTATTTGAGAAAAGAACATTTTTGTTGAATAAATAATGTAATTTATTCGTCCCGTGTTTATTTAAGTTTTACCTGATAAATTTGATAGTATCGGGGTTTAAATCATTAATGCATTTCTTACAATCTACCGCGATATGTCGAATCAATATTTTAATTTCACTCCAGTGCGACAATATGCGTACGTTCTTATATTTTCTTATAAAATATTTTAAATACTTTTAAATCAACTGAAAGATATATGCGTTTTGTTCAATTAAAATTAGAATTCATTATGTGGCTATTAATCTTTAATGAGTTTTTATCATTCGTTAATATAAATTGTTTGGATATTTCATTACGAATTTTATATATTAGAAATATTTTTTTTTCTTTTTTTTCTTATTTTCTTTTTTTAAATTTAGTATTTATTCCTTACATTAAGAGAAGGTAAAATACATAGATTGATAACATAAGATTTATATATAAGTATCAGCAATTCAATTTTAATTAAAATCTCATCATAAATCAACAAACATATAAAAAGTTGTGAAAAATTCATCTTAGTTAATATTTAAAAAATTAAAATTATAAATTTCAATAATCCTTCATTTTTTATTTTCACGCTTTTAATATAAATTTATTCTTTATATTATAATATGCTACATACATTAGTTACATATTTGTTAAAAATTAACAATAAGAATAACATTTAAAGAATCGTGGTACAATAATCAATTTGAATTAACTTACTTTTGGAAAAGCGTCGATAGCAACGAATAAAATTAGGGAAATCCCTAATTTTAAGGCGGATCGCCTCATCTTGATTGTTAGTATCTTCGAAAATCTAAAGAATTATATATATATATATATATATATATATATATATATATATATATATATTATATATGCGCCCACCTATCCCGCCCACTTATATATGTCACTTTATATTTATTATTTTCGTATTCGCGTTAACGTAAGCTGTTGTATTAAAAATAGCGTTTTTTCTTGTAATGGAGCTTTATTTGATGAAATTCGCGCGAGCACACATGTACTGTTTCTTATTTGAATGTTCACGATGCGTAAAATTGTCTCAGCATTGAATATCAATGTAATACGACCACCGCCAAGTATACTATGTAATACCATAACTTGGAAGATTAAGTTTAAAAAATAAACGCCCACAGTCCTTATAATCATATAGTTATACCACTCTAATTGTTATAATGTATAAAAATATATCAAACAACCCAAGAATTGGATATATTAACATTTTACAAGCAGGTATTCATGCATTATCTAAGAAATTACTAATGTATAAGCGAAAAGAATTTGGAGTGTCGGTGAAGGAATGCATTAAACGAGCTACGCACAGTCGCCGATATTCTTTCCTTAAAGTTGCACTATCCAACGTGGCGAGAGTACAATTATCGTAATAATAATCAATACCGAGAGTTCGAAAGTTCGAATTTTAATTTAGGCAAGTGAGTCTGCGTTGTTCATCTTCCAAGTCCAGTTAGGCCGGAATGTAAAGAACGATCGCGCGACAAGTAATTCAGCAAACGGAGCCACGTTCACGTTCACGTTCACGTTCACGTTCACGTTCGCACACGACTCGTCCCTTTCGCAAATCCGAGTCACCACGGCTCACACACCACCGGGTATTCATGCAGCCCTCAACCCCATGGTTACTCACGTGCAAGCGTTAAGGCTCGAAACGTGAAAAACAAAATCGAAAATCGATGCGCGATCCTTGGTAGTCACTCGCTCACTGTTCCCCGACGTCGATGCTGACCCTTCGTCTTCGAACCCACACGCGCGCGTCTTCCCAGAAGGGTACACGGGGGAGGGGATGTGCACACTAGGTACACACTAGGTAGGCGGGGTTGTCCGGGGATCATCATCGGTGTCAAGTGATGAACTGTCGGTGTCAGGTCTTTATGCTTCCCTCCTCCTCGTGCTCTCTCTCTCTCTCTCTCTCTCTCTCTCTCTCTCTTTCTGTATTTTAAATAACGGGTGTCTGCCTATCGAGAGCATCGTATCAAACGATGTAGATCCGTCGCTCGTTATCCAATTGCGCCAGTAGGAGCGAATGAAAAGGGGGTTACCGTTTTGGCCGATAGCTTGGATGCGCCAAGTGTTAGAGATACCATTAGCGATACGTGGACAGCCGGATGCCAGCCTAATGAGAAGAAACATCTACGTCTCTCTCTCTCTCTCTCTCTCTCTCTCTCTGTCTCCCCTCTGTGTATCGGGTTCATTTGTACCCCTTTGACGTCATTGTGGCATTGCCAGTCGTAGTGTGCGTATTGCACGCGCAGGAGAGTCGGTGTTGTGATTTAGGAAGAGACACGAGCACGTGTGGGATTTATTATACGAATGCACTTCCACGTTTTCAGTTGAGTTTGCACATGCTTGCTGAAGCCATAGGAAGGAGTCTCGTGCGCGCTATTTTTTCTGCTTTTTCTCATGCACCCGAGAATGAAACGATACTACCCGTATATTTGCAGTTTCATCTTGAAAATATTATGTTGAGTTTGAATGAGTTTTCGAACGATACCAAATATTTTGAACAATAGAGAAATTCCGGAAAGGATTGGAATAAAAAGATATATTTCAATATTCACTTATGTCGTAATTAAATGTCACAATATGTATGACTATTATATTGCATCTATAAGATATATATATATATATAGTAAAAAATTAAATATTGACATTTCACTAACAATTACATATTTCAACTAAATTTATAAAATATAATTATTAATTTTCAATTCTTGAAATTGAATAAATAAAAATTTGCGGGATTAATGGAGAAAATTTGAAAACCAAATTATGTATACGCTTTTACATATACACTTTATGTAAATAGTGTAAATTTATGACAATAGTTAACAAGCACATATATAAGTACATAAATGGCAAACTATAAATATATATCTTCATGCGTAATAATATAACTCAGCTTTCAGTCTAACTTTGCTTGTTTTTCAAGCCTCATCATTTGATACTTACACAAAATTCTAATACAACAAGTATTTTTTATTCTAGTCATGTTTATCTATTTCTCCAATTTCTTTGTCCGTTCTTTCTCTCTATATCTCTGCTTTTGCATATTTTTTGCGCTTATTTATTAATTTTTAAATTCATTCGGTTTTAAACAATTATTTTGCTCAAGTTGTATGTAAATTTCTGCAAGGTGTGTTTTTACATTTTAAACGTCGAATATTAATGTTATTTATTATTGCAAGTAATTATAAAAAATTCATTTGATAAATATTTTCACAAACATAAATAGCATATATTTTTTAATGTCATGTTTATGCAAATATTATAATTGTTGTTTAAATTTAAACATCATCATAATCTAGCCACAATTCAGTTTTGTTCGTCAGATGAACTTTAAATTACGTTAAATTATTTTATGTAACTCTATTACGTAAGAATGTGGAGTTATGAAAGGAAGAATAGTCGTAAAGATTTTGGAAACTTCGATTAACGCTACGAGCCATTGCCTCATTAAACGTGCAATTATAATATAATTAAAACATTATGTAATTAATATTATTGATTAAATATATAATAGCTCGATTGAAAGTATGATTTGTGTGATGTCGTATTTTAAACATGGAAAATGCAATTTTTCTCCTAACTTAAATGGAAGGAAATTGTGCTTATGATAATAAGTTAATAGTGACTGAGTATTGGAATATGTTATTTGATAAATGAAATGTCTTTTTCTACAAATATAGTGAAAAAAACTGTACCAAAGTTTTTTAAAAATGGTTTCAAAAGTCTAATTGTTTGTTATTGTATTTTCAAGTACCAAGAGAGAGAGATAGAGAGATAGAGAGAGAGAGAGCAATTTATTAATTTTACTTGATTTTTGTGCGATAGATTAGGATAGTAGATATACTTCAATCTTTAAAAGATATTTACTCAAGTAAATTATACTACATTAGAGACTGGGTCATGGTCAATAATTAGCACCCTCGTTTCAAATATTATCATTAGAGAATATTCGTGATTACAAGTGTTGCATTTATATTTATATTCGGATGTTTTTACATGAAAGCTTCAATTGTACAAGTAAAGTAAATAAACAAGAGAGGAAATTTAAAAGCATATAATGTATGCCTTAGATCTACAATATATGAAAAGATATATTGCAAAAAAGATAAAGTAGAGTATCTTTTAAAAGCAATCGTGCGCTATATATATATATATATATATATATATATATATATATATACATATATAAATACGTATATAATGAAATTAGCACGAATTTACTGTTCCCACATTGCGCTTTTGCTGTATCGTTAACCGTAGCTTAGCTAGAATTTACAACGGCATGTGATCGATATGTCACAAAAAGTTGTGTACAAATAGTAGTCAACAATCCGCACGATTTTGTATAAAATGAATCGAAAATTGTGCGGCGTGACAATGGTTAAGTAAGATTCGTACTTGCGATAATAGCACGCGCGTCGGAATAAGAAGATTTAGCGAGCGAAATGGGGGGGGGGGGGATAGTGAAAAATCAGAGCACTGGTCCACTCCCGAACCACTCGCAATATCCATCACACGGGCTAACCTTCGGAGCAGATTGACCTCTAATTGTCACTTGGCGTCATTTCGCGCAGGAAAACCGTACCAGTCGGTGATTTCTCGTGCACCGTGGAAGATTTTTTGACTGATACTCTCCGTGTCACAGCGACATAAGCCTGCGCTCTTGCCTCACACGCTCATCTCAATTATTCGATTTTCTCATCGCAGCTTCTCAGCTCTCATTCTTATTCTTCGAGAAATGTCATGTTCGATTGTTTTTTTTACTTTTTGTTTGTTTGGACGAGTGACTTTTCAGGCTATCGTAGTCGAAGCTGTCATACTAGGTGTTAAATAACTTTCTCGTATAATTTTTACGATCGTGCGTTGGTATTTTTTGAGGCTGTTGTCGAAGGAACATGCATGGTCTGGGATAAATAAACGTAGTGGAAAAAAATATTCGACAAATTTGCTTCTGCCTATTAGGAAAAGTTTTCATCGTCAATGAAATATTATTCACCGGTCGATTTCTATTATTTCGAATATATTAAATTAAGCTCAACGTACTACTAACATTCATCATTTATAAAAGTCCGCTTTAGACTTTTATATTTAATTTGAGTAATCGTTCGTTGTTTCGAGTGTAAATGTAAAACATTAATCGTCATTGTTCTATGAACATTGCAGTTTAATTCTGTACGATAAATTTATAAATAATTAATTTATGCTGGGTTGCCATTTCATTCTGTATTTTACAAAATCACTGTATTGGTTAATTGGCCGTCATTACAATAGACTAATCAATTTCAATATTAATAAAATAATAAACGTATTTTTAATCGTATTTTAGCTAAAATGCTGATATGCATAGAAACAGGTATATTTATAGTTGTTCCTGTAAAATAATTAGACTTTTCATGAATATTATGCTTAGAAGCTTAAAAGTTTCGAAATTTAATTTTAATTACAATTTCAATTAGTTAAAAATTTTAGTTTTTTAACAGGGTATTTCCTATTAAAGTGGACACATTATAAATTTATGCTGTAACAGTAAATAAGTTTATCTAATTTTGTTTATTTTATAATTTCAATTAGAATTGTATAATGTTGAAGACAAACGCTATAGTGACGAATTATCTCAAACAACATCTTTGATATTTATATAATAATTCATATTTTATGTTAACTGAAGCTTATATTTATATTTTTGGTATTTATATTTTATTTGTTGCTGAACAAATTTGTTTTTTAATAATAAGTTTTATTTAATTTTCATGAATGTACGTACCGATGATTATAAGTTTGGAATGCATATAGGAACAACATTCCCTCGTGCATATGCTAATTGATGTATGCTTATTCCTATATTAAAATTTTTATTTCTTTTATTCAATTCTAAAAGTAGCCAAGTTGAATTTTGTTTAACAAATTTTTTTTATATCATAAAAGTGTATTATAGAAAATTTTAAAAAATTAAGATTTTAATTTATTAGTTATTTCAAATTACATTTTTTACAAATTACACGTACATTTTTCTAAATGTATGATTAAATTTATGCATTATGAGAAATAGAAGTGAGATAATCAATCATTTATTAAGAATTGTAAAATGTTTTGGCTTCATTAGGGATACGTTAACATTAAAGAAGTAATGATTATTAAGCAATCGTTAAAGTCTCAGTGATTCAAAGTATCATTAACGATTATATATATATATATAAATATATATATATATAGTTTATGTTAAAGATCGTTTTTATGTGCAATATTTTTTTGAATAACCTGTATGAGATTTTATATAGTAATTCGGGTAAGATTTTTTAAAAATCAATAGAATAACCAATAGATATAAAAATAATAAGTTTAGTTATGTATTTTCAATGACTATAGTCGCATAGAGAATCTTAATTATTCTTTTTATTATTATAATAAATAGTTAAAATAAGATACAAAATGAATGAATTAAAGCTACTTTTATCTAAATTATCTTCTTAATTTTATAGTATATAAATAGAATATATAGTATTATTTTTAGCACGTAAACTTATAAATTTCTAACGTTTAAGTTGAATATTTGGCTACACAATAAGACGAATAAGAAAAATATAATAATTCCTACGGAGTAATAAATATTCATGCCATTCAGACCATAATAAACTAGTTTTTTTTCCTCATTTGTTAATTTTAAAGAGAGATCGATTTCCATAAACATGAAAATTAACAGTATATAAATGGCCTGTTATATTAGTAAAACTCATAAAGATTTTATATAAAGTCTAGAAACATGTTTTTATGATTGGAGCGTTGATTTGAAAAGTCGGTGGCTGAGAATTTTACATTATACTTAAATAATAAAACTCGATAATATTGAAAAGTTTGTTAATCGTTAGTAAACACTAAATTTTCAATTTTTTTCAATATGTACTTTTATTCTATTTCATAATTCGATATTTCATGAATCAATGAACATTGACGTATATAGTAATTTTAATTATAAGCCATTGAATGTCACAAAAGTTGTTATATATATATATATATATATATATATATATATATATATATCATCGTTTAATTATTAAGTAAAATTTTAGTATACTTTGAAGTACTTATTGTGAATTTTTTTATTGTACAGTGATATTTTTTATTACTTTTGCCTATTAATAATTTTCAATAGATTAAGATTTACCACTGCATTTTCACTTATCAGTGATTTTGTAATTTCTCAAATATTAATACGTATTTTTTCTACACTGGAAGTTTATGTTAATTTTATCTTAATTCAATTAATGAGTATATACATTTTGATAATTATTTTGGTGATCGACAACTACCGAAATTCAGTTTGCGAAATTTTTTATTACATATTGATTTCGAAGTTGTAAATACTTGTGTATTTATAACAATTATTTTTTTTATTGTTTTCGAATGAAATGTTTGAATAGTATTCTTATCTCAATTTTACAGCCAAATATTGAATCTATTAATACATGTAAATATTTTTATAATTTTGTAGGATAATTCGGGTGCAAGGCCATTCATCAACAATACTTGTTCACTAATATCGACTCCTCCTCGATTAAAAATTATAAAGTTATGCTATTATAGTGTAATATTTACATTTATCATAAATCGAGCTCACTTGGACGAATAACACACAATTAAAATTGATTTCTGGTCGAGCTATCGATGCGACAACAATTAACAATTAACATATAAAATCTTTGTTTAATTCGACAGATCTATTTTTTACATAAATATTTCAATGTCATTTTAAAATAATTTGCATAATGAGGTACGTTATTGCCAGCATTTACAAACCACATAGTCTAATATCCTGTGAAATTGGTTATTAATAATGTGCAATAAATTTGTTGGTTAATCACATGACATAACGTACTTAGAATTTAAAAATTAATCAATCGACTCGATTTACATGTACACCAGACTTACGATCTTTATAGCTTAAAATCGAAATGTCGTTATGCACATACGTGGTACGAGCTACATTATTTTATTTATTATCGTTCTCTAGCAATCATTCCGCTCAAAAAGCAAACAGGCACAAGACCTCGTACGACCGAATCGATTATACAATCGTAGCGAAAATATTTCGGAAGCATCACGGTTACGCTCAAAAAAGGAAAAAAAAAAGAAGAAAAAAAAGAAGAAAAAAGAGAAAAAAAAACTCGTCGTTAAAGCGCTCGAGCGAAAAGAGACAAGAAAAGCGCGACAAGTCTTGCCGCGAAAAGTCGCGGAGAGCGGCAGGAGGTAGGCGACGAGGAAAAATAATAAAGGCGACGAAGAAGCGCGTGGAATGAAGCCGCGGGTGGGAGGAGTCGCATCTTCGGGAGCTGTTGGCTCGCGGCGCAGGTGGAAGTACTAATTGCGCTCTCTACCTGCGCGCCACCGTGTCTCAACCGCTTGGCAGTGATTGCGCAGTGCGCGGGTCGATCGCGCGCGCGAGAGAAAGAGAGAGAGAGAGAGAGAGAGAGAAAGAGAGTGAAAGTGAGAGTGAGAGTGAGAGTGAGAGTGAGAGTGAGTGAGAGAGTGAGTGTGTGTGAGAGAGAGAGAGAGAGAGAGAGAGAGAGAGAGAGTGCGTGCGCGGGTGCGTGCATCGTCCCGAGGAGTGAAAATCGCTGGTACCCCTGGCTGCATGAGAGCACGACAGGATGAGACGAGGAAGCGTCACGACATACGTGGACGATGGTCGCCGGCACTGTGAGCACACGCAGCACTTTTTCATTTTTTTTTCTTTTTCAATCATCGTGTGTGGGGTTGTTACACGAGTTTAAAAAAATCAAGCCGACCTCATGCAACCTCTCGGTCGATCCCATGACGTTACTCCTTTCGCTCTCACTTTTCATATTTCCCGGGGTCGAACGTCCTTACATGGTGCTTGCGAATCTACCTACAATGCGACTCGTTATTACTTTTCTATCCGAATGCATTATACCGTAATTGCGGGACAGTTGTGCCGAGGGAGAGCGCAACTCATTAATCTCGGTCAGTAAAAATTATTTGGAATTTGGCAAATTTTTCCACTCTGTCATTAAGCTCCTCTCTTGCCAGCTTATGTCACATGTATGCATATGGTTATATAAATCGTGCACGAACCGCTACGTACATTTACAATAAAATTCCTATATACGCAGCAGCATTGAGCGAAGTCTCGAGCATCCCGATCCGCGTATATAATCCATGTAAATTGCGAGGTACGCGGCCTACGTTTCTCTCTCTCTCTCTCTCTCTCTCTCTCTCTTTCTATCGCTCTCTCTCTCTCTCTCTCTCTCTCTCTCTCTCTCGCTCTCTCTCTCTCTCTCTCTCTCGCTCTCTCTCTCTCTCTCTCTCTCGCTCTCTCTCTCTCTCTCTCTCTCGCTCTCTCTCTCTCTCTCTCTCTCGCTCTCTCTCTCTCTCTCTCTCTCGCTCTCTCTCTCTCTCTCTCTCTCGCTCTCTCTCTCTCTCTCTCTCTCGCTCTCTCTCTCTCTCTCTCTCTCTATATATATATATATATATATATATATATATCTATCTCTCTCGAAGCTTCCCGTTGGCCAGTCGCGTCAGTCGGGTAATTACGACTTAATTCCCCCGTGGCTGCAATTGAAAGGCGCGCTCGTGCTCGATAAAGGCAAATGAGCGAGGCAATTCTCACCATCCCCGTGTTGCATCGTGGACTGTTCGTAGAGGAATGCGCGTCTTCGTATTAAAAGAGTTTTCGTACAGCGCACATTAGCCTCGCGCAAAGCGCTCGTTTCGCCTTGACAATAATGCGTCACCGAGGTTGGGATCATTGTGATTCAGGGGCGAATAGAGGTCCAGCGTTTTGGTTATTACGAGGGAATAACGAGGGTAGGATGATCGTGTATCCGGGGTCGGTATACCTTTTGATGATGGTGGATCCCAACAGCCGTTCAATTAGAGACGAATAACTAATACTTGCTCCATTTGATAATTATTCGTCTCATCTCGCACTTTCTCTTATCTTTCTCGTGATGCATGCCGTTCGCCGCATTTGCAATTGAGTGATTATAAGAATTTCCTTGTAATTGGTCAGTGGATATTAATATTTAGCTGATAAGATGGGTAAAATGGGCCAATGGGTTAAGATAATGAAATTATCGATAGCTTGAGACTGATTGAGATATTTGGACGTTTGATTAATTGAAAAGCTTTAAATAGGGGTCGATTAACTTGAATTTTCTTACTATTCGTAATTTCATCGCCGGTGATCAATTACTAATGTGTCAGAAAATTTGAAGTACAATTCGATTCCTGAATGCCATACAATATCCGGGAATTGAGTAGGTGAGGCGGGTTGTGATTTTGGGGGGGGGGGGATTTAGAAGAAAACGATGAAAAATAAAAATTGTAAAAATTTTGCCATTAATTAATGAAAATCAATTGTAATCTTATTTGGGCGTATGTTTTTAGTCAAACCTATATACGTTTCTGGAAATGTTAAGCGTGTATTAATTATAAATAAACATTTCCTATACCAATCGAGGCGGTTAATTTTGTTATTTCTTTTCTTTTGCTTTTTCTTTCTTTCTCCCTTCTTCTTTTATTTTTCTTTTCTTTTTTTTTTTTGTAAATTTTCATTTTTTTCAGTCACCGCTAATTGAGTGATTGATAAAACGCTGACCATTAGTTAATAAAAAGTGCACAAGCTGCATGCAAGGATATTTGTCTTTGCCTAAATCAAAAATGCATTTTCAAAAATATATGTGTCTATGAATTATAAACGTACGACTTTATTGCCGCTCGTGGCAATATCTTTTCTTCTTCTTTTTTGCTTTTTCTATTTTTAAATAATGATAATTGAACGATTGTCACATGTGAGTTATTGACACGACATTGCCATTCCGTTTAAAGGGAAAAGCTGATCACATTTTTCAAAAAGTCTTTTGTTTTATTTCATATTTTGCTTTCATAACGTTCATTGAACATTAAATCCTAGAATAGCGATATTTCAAAATTTATTTTTCAGCTTTAAAAGTTTTCTTACGTTCGGAGTTTTAACCGATCAAGGTCAGCCATTTTACACACATTATCGTTAACACATTAATGTTTCCGTTTGGATTGAAGATATCGTCGTTGTATCACACACTTGTAAGAAACTTAAATTATAGAGTTACAATTTCTTATATCTTATATGCGAAGGTTGCAAAAGCAATGGTCGATTGCGTTTTTGCCAAAATATTGATCGGCGGCGATTCTCGATTACTTTTTTTTTTTAATAAAGACTTCTTTTAATAATCTTCTAATCTTCAAAGAAACACATTATAATTCAAAATTGACAATTGACAATTATTTTATTTCAATATATTTTGTTACGATAATTATAAAACAAATGCCAATAATTTGTTAGCAAATAATTAATAAATAATAAATTAGCAAATAATACAAATAAATATAGTCGTCATTTTTTCGGATTATAATACGGTTAAAGTTTAGTTGCATTTAAAATTGCGTTAAAGTTTGCACGGCCAACTACAATAAAAAAAAAAAAAAAAAAAAAAAAAAAAAAAAAAAAAAAAAAAAAAAAAAAATAAAGTTACAACGATATTTGAATTGAGAATTTTGTCGCCTCAGAATTATGTGGATAATACTTCCGAGGTTATTCGACAATTACGCGAGTTAAGTTTATGCTAGCAAGCATTAAACTAAAGATACTTAAATCACTACAGTTACACGTACACGTTTAAAAAGTGTATCACACATTTACATGCGATCGATTTATCTTACAAGGTGATTTTTCTATACTCTTCGGCAATATATAAAATTTAACGTCCCTGTTATGCTCGCGTTTAAATGCAATTACAATGGACGACAAATTTACAAGTAAATAATCGGTTCGTTAAATCCAACATCCGAATTTCCTGCTAATAAATGCCCAGCAAAAAAAAAAAAAAAAAAAAAAAAAAAAAAGAAAGGAAAAATTCATATTAGTTACAATAAAAGCGCATCGCTCGAGCGAGCTGAGAATAAACATTTTCATTACGCGAATAACGAAGCTCTCGTTATCAATTACCGAAAGTTGGGCGCGCTCGTAGGCGAATTCGAAATTCCTATCAGATCGATGTCGGGGCCTCGGCTCGTCCTGTATTCTGCAAATTGGTGATTATGCGCCCCCATAGATCCGCGAGCATCTGGAAACACATCTACGTAACCGGAGAAAAAGCCGAGATAGAATTCGTGATCACCTCGAAGTGGCCAACGTTATCGCCGTTGCCGATGGCGCGCGTCCCGAGCTGCTATCGCCGGCCACTCGATAAGCCCGAGTTTCGATTCCGCACGCTCGTAAAATTAACAAAGAAATCTTTAGTCGGAGAGCGAGCGCCTCTTGTCGCTCGCCGACTCTCTCGCAGCCGCGATTTTGCTTGCGCGGAACCAAAAGCCCTTGGGACCGAACGGACAGTGCGCCCTAATTGTCGGTGTGCCCACGTAGGGCCGGGGGCACTCGACTTTTCATGCCATGCGATTCATGCGAAACCCAATTAATCTAACGATACTTTAATCTCTCTACATTTAATTATGAATTTGGCTATTGGTGCTTCAAATTGGCTCATCCATTAGCAATTAGTCTATTTCTTTTTATAATGTTTGGCATGATTTTTTTAGTTTGTAGTTGAGTGGTGTAAGTACCAATTAGATTAAATTAATTGTAATATAATAATGTTGTAGTATAAAACTAAATAATCGTGTAATATGGCTAGATTGTAAAGAGGATTAATTGTAAATTGATGGAAGAGTTTAAGAGTGGAGAGAAAATTCTTGAATAATAGAAAATGTACATTGAGTAACCGAAATTGACGATTCGTTCGATATATGAGATATGCATAAATCGTAATAATAATATAAATAATTAACTGGTTTTAATAAAGCGATTAATAATTTACTGTTTGCTGAGATTCGAATGAATTTTTCAAAGTAAACTATCGACGAGAGCGAAATTTGAAATAATAATTGCGTTATTAACTTTTAATCAAAGAATTATAGAGTTTTTAATTTTTCGAAACAATATACTTATATTTTAAATATTAAATCATTAAAAAATATTTAATAATAATAATAATAATAATAATAATAATAATAATAATAATAATAATAATAATAATCATAATCATAATCATAATCATAATCATAATCATAATCATAATAAGAATAAGAATAAGAATAAGAATAGGAATAAGATGAAGAAGATGAAGAGGAAGAAGAACGAGAAGAAAATGATGATGAAGAAGAGAAAGAAAATGAAAAGAATTACAAGCTTTGTTGATGTTTAATATACGGACGAAAAGTTTTCATTTAATTTATCGAAATTTTACGATAAACGGTACTCTATGAATTAACAAGCTCGCGATACAATTGTTCAAAAATTTAATTTCTACAATAAACCACGGGATGAAGTATTTCATACATTGCAATCAATGATTATTTTATATACCATAATAATTACGAGATTACGGTGGTTTTCTCCAATTAATTTTCCAAATAATTATCCTTCAACGAGAAATATTAATGCACATTTGAAATTCGCTCTACGCATCACGTGTTTTGACAAAACGAAAATTTATATATTTAAATACACATATTTAATGTATATTTTGATCAATGTTTAATCATTTGATAAAACGTTGGGAGTAAAGAAACATTCTCGTTCAATATATGTGCGCTAGCGGTAATAAAATTTGAGTCATTTAATTATTTAATTAGTATTTAATTAGTGCATACAGCCACATTGCCAATAGCTTATTGTGACTTTATTTTTAATTCGTCAATGTTTTATTTCGCTATTACCATTTCCTTACATAACATTACATAAAAACGATACTGAAAATGGCGTTGGGCTAAAAAACATAACAAAACCCTCCCGAACTCCGCGAAACAACGAGAGAAACGGCAATGACAACCCTCAAGGCCCACATATTTATTTAACCACTTGGCAAGTTCTACAGAAAAGCCGACAGCCATAACCCATGCGGCGCATAATGCCTATAATGCACGCTACATCGGAGCTCATTATTACCGCATCCGAAGGTAAATGTCGTCCATGAAGCCCAATCGAGCTTCGTGGAGGGGCGCCGAGGCTCGGTAGTCCCTATTCCCCGACCCACTCGCGTTCAAGAGTGTCACTGACCATCGCTGGTCCGGTGACCATTTGCGATTATGCTCGGCTGCCAAACGGAAGGAAACGCAATAATTAAAGAAAAAAAAAAAAAATAAAAAAAACAGGCGACGCGCGTACCCGCGGTGGCCGCCGTCCTTGGCGCTCTACGTCATCGCCGTAGCGATCGCCGAACGCTGATAGGAGCCGCTCGGTATGATAAACCTCCATCGACGGTATTGGGCCGGCAGCGGGCTATTGCACGTCTCTCGTGTTTTCCTTTACCGCTACTCTCCCATGTCCGTGATCTTTTTTTGAAGGTAATGGGAAGCCTCGGTGTAGGTACTTTTTCCCTCTGCCACGACGCATTTCCTCGGACCTCGCGGTGTGCAACTCTTACGTAGCATAGGCTTTCAAATGTCAATGGATTCGCATTCGCGTCCTTGTACGATCCTTAATCGCATCATTCTTATTTATCATTGTACATTTTTCTTATTTTCCTTCTATTTTTCCTTTTTTCTTCTTTCTTTTTCTTCATTCATTACTTCTCATTTTTTTCTCATTGGTTTTCTTTTTATTCAAATTACGATTTTTTTTTTGCAACTTGAATCAATTGATTAACCTCGAGTATATGGCAGTTTTACAATTTTTTTGATTTGATAAAACATTATCGATTACTCATGAAATCACGAAATTATTCATTACTCAAATTTCAAGTCTAGCATTTGTAATAATACTTTCTCTCTCTCTCTCTCTCTCTCTCTCTCTCTCTCTCTCTCTCTCTCTCTCTGTATTCCCTTTAAACCTCTTTCATTTAGCAGTAACAAGGTAATAGAATTTTATTTAGCTAGATTATTTTTTGATAGATAATGTTAAATAGAAAATTATTAGCGATGAAATAAATGTCATAATCATAATTCTTTTCGAGAGAAGGATATTTAGATGAACAGCATCAGTTTTTTCTATAATTCACACAGGCATACACGCGCGCGCTAGGATGCGCACACGCACGCATTATCATATGCATACTAATAAAGAAAACTTTATGGTTTTATCATTTTTGAATGAAAACAATTTTTAAGCATTAGTTATATAAACGATACATAGATTTATTCTAGAAAAACAATAAATAAGAATTATAATATTAAGTTAGCTGTAAACACTTTAATGTTACTTTTATTCATACAAATTGATCATTTAAATATTATTATTACTTTTTAATGCTGCTACTATTAAATATGTTATATTATAGAGATTAAATTGATATTATCTCAATTTCCTAAATTATGTATTATCCATTCGTTCATAACACTGATGTCGATAAATTGTTGGATATTCGTAATGATAAAATGTTTATGTATGCTTTATAAACAAAAAGGTATTTTTAAAAGAAATTATTTAAGACACAAAAAGAACATAAATTACGAGTATTTATTAGAAAGGAATGAAATACCTATGCCTAGTAATGCCATCCTTAATTCAATATTTTGAAACAGAAAACTTTTTGGATTTTTGATTTTCTTTTTATTAAATTTTTAAGGCCAAGTCTTTATTTATGTATTTGTAATCTAAATGATTATTGATCGAGTTAATTTGAACTGACTAGGTATATTGATGGATATAATATTTACATCAATTTTCGGGTTTATATATATTATTATTATTATTATTAATATTAAAGAAAATTTTATTATAATTATCAAAATTGTGGTATTGTTGCGGAAGAGAGAACGAACGGATGAGATATCGCGTAAAGATATACGTCCGTTCCGTCAAATGCAAATCAATGGAAATTATATGCAAGATTGATTCTACCTTACTCGTCGTATTATTTACCAATTACTCATTTAATGAACATTTCACATCATCTTTCTCATTTTATCATTACCAGTGCAAACGTAATTTATGAAAAAACCATCATTACCAAATCAGTGTCTTACCCAACTTCATAATTATCACTAATTAACACTACCCCAGCGTCTCGTGCTTCTCCTTCCAAACGTTCTTCCTCTACCCTCCATCTCCTCTCCCGCCCCCTTAAAACATCAAGAAAACAAAATGAAAATATTGCCAGTAATTTTGCGATCGCATCAAACGTGCCACTCGGCCGAGCGGAAAATCAAGGTGCGAGCGTCGTCACCCCAACGCGTAACGGCACTTTTCCAACCGCATCGTCCACAAGAGCGGCTCGACTGTCGGCTTCAAAAGGCCAAATCAGCGACAGTATTTGCCGCAATCATTTCGTTCGCATGCATTACTGTAGCGTCTCGCACTCCTCCTCCTCGTCCTCTTCCTCCTCGTCCTCCTCCTCCTCCTCCTCCTCCTCCTCCTCCTCCTCCTCCTCCTCCTCCTCCTCCTCCTCCTCCTCCTCCTCCTCCTCCTCCTCCTCCTCCTCCTCCTCCTCCTCCTCCTCCTCCTCCTCCTCCTCCTCCTCCTCCTCCTCCTCCTCCTCCTCCTCCTCCTCCTCCTCCTCCTCCTCCTCCTCCTCCTCCTCCTCCTTTACCTCCTTCACCTCCCCCGTCGGCCTTCACGGCGAATAATTTCGCGACCGAAGACTCGGTTTGCTCGCCGTTACGGCCGACGTTGCGCGCTATCAACGTCATCTACATAAGCGGACGTATCTTTGCACGATGGGACTGGCGCAGCTGCGGGAATGGTGACGCCGGAATACCGCAGCAACAATAGGCAGGAATTCACCGTGAACGACATTGACTACGAGAGAACGGGTGGCTGCTTCGTCTCGTACAGGAAAATCGCCTTCGCCTTCGTCTTCTTCCTCGCGTTTGTCATCGCCGCCGCCTTCATCGGCGTCTACATTGGATCGCCGCCGGACAAAGCTGTGAGTATCACTGATCTTTCATTTAGCCGTTCACTCGACAAGTTTGCAGCCAACATCGGTGACCTTACTTACCGCGCGCCCAGGATACGATAATGTCGTAATTATAACGTAATTCGTTTCCGGAGCGAAGTCAGCTGCTCAGTCCTTTGAACGATATTACCGTAAAACCAGCTGGCACATCTCTCTCTCTCTCTCTCTCTCTCTCTCTCGATGGAACAACAATCCGCGAGCGGCTGATTTATTCTTGAAATACAAAGTTTTCAGGAATCTCGAAGATTCGAACTTAAGAAAATGTTCCGGGGTTTAAGGGCAGAAACTTAAGTCGCCTAAACTAATTTAAAAGATAGAAACTTACAGCTACTAAATAACGCGAATTCATGACCAGCGAGGATGTTGTTTTCCATTATTTTATTAATTATACGACTCCCGCGATAAACCTGATATTCTTGTTTCTCCGTAAATATCGAAATTGCATTTATTCGCGGTCATCTATTTACTAAGCTGGCGTTTTTCTGACAATTCATAAAGCAGATTGTTAACAAGATTAACAAGTCAAAACTATTGCTCATAACGAAATGAATTGACTGTTTTTTTTTCTTTTAAAAAGAAATATTAAAAGCCGAACGATATTTTCCGCCTCGTCGATTGCTTTTAACAAAGTGGACTGAACAATGATGCAGTGGCGCTATTATTTGGCAATTCATTCGGCTTAATACGGACGAATAGCCGAGGGATAATTTCCTAGACCGCGTAATGTATTACCTCGTTCTCTATTTTCCTCGTGTATGACTTTGTACTACAATGCGCGGCCATTACTTAAATATATAAATTTTAACGGCGAGTCTCCGAAAAAAAGTTTTCCACTTTATAGATGTGACTGGAAAACATTTGGCAAATTATGCTCTTGGGAACACCTTGAAACATGTTTATTAATTTTATTTACCGTGGACTTTTATACTTTGTTTAATATTGTGTTTAAGCTTTGAAAATTTGCATATTTTTCTATATTTAATATTGTGATTTGAATGCCAAGTTATTAAAACTTTCGTGCTACTAAATTTGAACCGCTATGGAAGAATCGGGGAAGGTGTTTTTTTTTTTTTTTTTGCTCTTTTCATGATTAGCTCATTCGAAAAAATCCACTTGACGTTGTATAATAAAAGATTTTCAAGTAATTTTTGAGTACCCGGATTTGCTGATAAAATTAAGTTCAATTACACATGTACGCTCACAGGTAGAGAGTAAATTGTAAAAAAAAATTTTTTTATGCCAAAGACATTAAGAAATTAATCGATATTAGAGCGATATTATGGTTTAATTGTTTGATAAATTGGCTCATAACATGCACATTAGTGCTTCTTTTATAATTGTTAAATCAAAGTAGATGTTGCTAAATAATATAAACAATATAATAGAAGTAACAGTATGAATATTTATTTTAAAATACAATCGATACTTTTATTTACGTAGTTTTCTACGTGACACGTGGTTTGCTAATATTAGCAATTAATTACGTTTATTAATAATTACAATGATATTAAAAATGACAAAATAAAAAGTTCATTGCGAAGTATTATTATAAAAATATTATAAGCACTTGGTATGTTATTAGTATATTGATAGATTACAAGTTATACTTGGGCATACTAATGTATTGGTAACGTACATTATATATATATATTTATATATATACATAAATGCAATTTCTTTACAAATATTATTATATATTTATTAATACTATAATTTTGTATACATTCATTATTCAGTTGATAATATCCTATAATATTTTTACAGTAATATAAATATTATTGGGTACACTGGAAAAGTTGTGTCAATTTAGTTGTTGGATATTATATTTATTATTACGGAATTTTTTCATATTTAGAGATACGATTGTACAGTAAAATCGTTAATTAAAACATTGATTATTAAAATTTAATACAATAAAATTATAAGCTAAAAATTGCTATTTGATTAAATAGCGTTATTGATTTGATATTTGATATCATCTTAAAATAGCTGATGAGTATGAATAGATTAGTACATGTTTATTTAATTATTGATTTAGAAAAATGTCAACGGCAATAGAATTATCTACGAATAATGAATAATACTAAATATAAATAGTAGATAAATTGATAACTACAAATATGTGAAAATGTTTTAAATATTCAGTTTTTTATTATTTATACTATTTTAATCGAATTATTTTAATTCGACTTTTTACGTAATCAATGGAATTAATACTACGTATATTGTTTACTCAATTACGTATATAAAAATACGTATGGATCTTATGTACATCTGTAGATGTTTATATAATTGCATGTGGTCAGATAAAATAACAAGTGTAATGTATACATGTAGTTATTACATCTTACATTTGTAAGTCTTAAATTTATATAGTAAGTATCTAACATATGTACATATGATCCTGTGAGTATGCACAATTATGCAAATCTTACTCGATTGTGTTTCCTCTTCTTCACACTTGAACATATAAAAATAGGCATATTTTGTTGTAAAAATTGTTGTATTTTGTTATACATGATTAATTACGGTGGAAAATTTAAAACAAGTATTTATCTGTAAAGCATTTACATTGGAATGTGGAAATAAGCCTTCGTACTATCAAAAGCCAATATTTACAATGTTCGTTAAAAAGTTAAAAATTCCCTTTATTTCTTGGTGATATTGAAAATATGATATTCGAAAATACCACTGTGGATATTATTACGCGATAATTTCTTAAATCGCATACTGCACAGAATAGTTCAAATTACAAGGTTTAATTTATCAAGCGATATGAAATAATTATACGTAGTTCATGGAAATACTATTTCGTTAAAAAGTTACAAGATGTACTGGCTGTACTGTCCAACGATGAGGAGCTGCCTGAGAAATATGTTCTCTCTTCGTCTATCCAACCCGTGCGTTACAATATCAAGCTCGCGCCAATACCGGAAACCGAGGAGGGTCACGTTAAGCTCCAGGGACGCGTCATCATAGACTTTCAGCAGAATGGGATTAGCGGCCCAAATCAACTTGTCCTCAATTCCAAGCATCTGACGTACAAAAGCTGTCGTCTTTTAATCCACGACAAGATGGAAAATTCCACCTCCAATCAGCCGTCGGCCTCGAGGAGACGCAAGCGGGACACGGAGGACGTGAAAAATGGTGTGGAAATAATGCATTTCAGCGATAGATTTTAATTAACGTTTAGAACATTTGCGAGTTAACTGTTGACGCGATAGGATATTTGCACCGTGATTACTGGAAAAATGAAAATGACAAGAAATTAATAACGATAATAATGGAAGGGATTCATTAGTTTAATTTTCTACTCTTCTTTCAGTCATATTACGTGTCTATTCCCAGAATTATGGATAGATCGAATTTTTCAATAGATTTTTCTTTACATAACGTGCATAAGCTCATTACAATTTCATTAAAACTTATAATTTAATGATAAATTCTTATTGGCCATCGGAGGCTAGTGAATTTCAAGGTTTTATGTAGATAAATCTTTGGCTACATTCAATCGCATAGAATACAATTGTCGAGGCAATCACTATTCAAATACTTTATTACACATTTTTATTTATTCATGACGTTTGGGAGTGACTTTTGACTTTTTTTTCTTCGACTCAAGTCATTTATCGACAAAAGTTATCGTATAAAGAATTTAAAGTTATATCGAAGTTATTGTTTTTTTTTTTTTTTTTTGCCAATTGATATGACTTTATTTTTTATTATTTATATAGATACAACAGCCACTACAGTTGGAAATGAGACGGTTGTCACGACGATTGCTACCACTACTCTGCCAACCGTATTAAATGACACCGTCAAAGCTGTTGAGAATACAACGCAACATCCACAAATAGAGAAAAATCGTCTGTTCGAATTACCCCTTAGCAAAACTGAATTGAAAATCAGTGCAAATAAAACCGATGCAAATGGATCTATATACGTAATTTTCCTTGAAAAATCGTTACAGAAGGGAAATTATTCGTTAGAAATCGATTACGAAGCTACGGTGGATGACAGAGTTTTATATACGAGGAATATAAAGAAGAATAATTCTAGCAAGTAAGTATTACGAGTTAGTTTAGCTTTCTTATATTACATGAGTAATTATTATACACGCGGTTTTCACGATTAAACTTACGAAAAATTAAAATCATCTAAATAATCTTTACGAAGGAAAAGTTTTGCGGAAATAACATTATTATGAATATGAATATTTTCGTTCTAACTGATTATTTAGTTCCTTATGAATTGAATGAGGTGATTTGATAAAACTTCAAATCCAGTTAGATTATCCTGATAATTTATTGCAGAATTTCAAATTATTACTATGAATCTATTTGATGAAAGTCGTAGATTTTCTATTAAATTTCTTTATTTAGGATGTAATTTGAAAATATTATTATTTAAATTACGTGTCAAATAAAATTATATCCAAATAATTTTTTCATAACTAAATGTGAATTAGTAGTACCAAGTAGTCCCGATTGAAACTGTTGATTTTTTGAAAAATGCATTAATTCATCTTACTCGATGTGTAGGATAAGCGATAAGTAGAATTTTCTCGTAAAATCTTAGCGATTGTGAATTGAGAATATAAAATAAATAAAACAACCAATAAGATTACGATATTCTAATCATTCGTTTTTCGAAAAAGGCCGGTTATAGTGTCAATGCTGAAGCCCACCAATGCTCCTCGTCTCTTTCCAACCTTTGATGAGACGAGGCTGAAAGCAAGTTTTGAACTGAATCTGTTACATTCCAATGACCTGAAAGCCCTTTCGAATATGCCCTTGATCAATTCAAGCGACTCGTAAGTACAGAGATGAGCAATTTTTTTTCTCCAAAAAATATGTCAATATAGAAACCCATTATCCATCCTAAACTTTACAATATGAACGTTTATATATACATATATATATATATATATATATATATATATATATATATATATATATATAGCATTATTAAGAAAATATGAAAGTCAAAGTAACAAATAAATTTATAAATATCAAGTATTTAAAAGTATTTGGTTAATTCAACTTTCTAATACTTTAAGTCGCCACAATTAAAGTTTTCATTATCATGTAAGTCCGAAATGGAGCTTAATTAGTGTTTGGTCGACATTATTATGCCATTATAGTTTCTTAATCAAACTTGATAATGTTCTTTCATTATGAAAGTTATTATAAGTCATAAATATCAAGCGCATGTTACTATTACATTTTATTGCAATTTTTAAATTATGCAACTAAATATTTGAATATTATTGGATTTTAATATTATATAAGAATGACAATAAATTGATTTTTTTTTTTTAATAATATCGTATATTTTTGTTACGTTGGTTATAATTAGGTCAAATTCAAGCTATTTATTTTTATGAAACTATTTTTATAAATTCATATTGTGATTTTATGGTTAGGTTAAGTTACGAATAAATACTGTATGACTTCCAGTTTCAATATAAATTGTAAGTATAACTAATGTGCTTATTTTTACATTAATATTTTCATATTTAATTATACATTCCGTAAATTCAAATTTTAAGCTCTAGATTTACGAATATTTATTATCAACATTATATTAGGCTTTGAAAATTAATTATTTCATTAAAATAATAATTACGTGCATTCTATTTTGTACTAATCTATGAAACTATTGCCTTACACGTCTCCTTATTAAAAGTAATTTAGTATTATTATATTACGTTTTTGAAAGATTAAACTTTATATTCTGCGTATTTTTTTTTTGCACTACGTGCTTTTATATACTTTCGATTTATAACTTATCATCGATAGAGTTTATAAAAAGTTAGTTTTTCTATTGGATCGTGATTTTATCTGAAATTATTGATGAGTATATGTTTAAAATTATATTCTGAATATTTCTCACTCTAAATTTTGCTATTTCCAATGAAGATTATCTATGTCTTTGCTCGCATTAAGTAAATCGCATAAAGCAAATGTAAATTGGTTGTATTCTATGATATTTAGATTGATTTATAATTGTCTAACAAATTTTCTTGCTATTTGCGAAATCTAACGGTATGAATTGAAATTCAATTAAATTATTATGAGTTTATTTACAACTAATCAACTAGATATCGAATGGGTGTATCATATTATTCGCAATTTCTGATACATAATATTTTATATTATTATATTATATTAAAATATTTTATCCATTTGATTTGTCATATGTTATTCATATATTTATTAAATAATTTATCCTGAAATTGGAAATGTTTTTATTAAAATAACATTAGAATAATAACGGAATTTCTTATGATTTTACAGAAATGATTTATAAATATTTAAGGTTCTCTTTAATAATTTAGTATTATAAATAAGTTATATGAAAAATTGTTGATTTTATTGAATATATCTTGACTAAAGTAGTATAAAGAATTATTTATTTAGCTTAAATATTTGTTTTATGTTACTACAATTACAATATCAGAATAAATAAAATATGAATTTAGGTCATTATTTGCCAATGCCTATGGTAATTCGAATTTATATTTCTTATACAATCGATAATTTATTAAATATTCAATTATACACGTTCATTGATTATAGAATTGCATTATTACTTTTGTTATTTTGAATAATAATTTAGATATTCATACTTTTAATACAATGATGCTAATTTATTAAACGTATGAGAATTAAAGATTTATCTGTAGATAAATCAGTCATATGGTGATTTTATCGGTGTAAATTAAAAAAAAAAAATTTTTACTTGATTCAAAGTACTTAGATTAATCAATGATATGGAATGAACTATGTGAATAGAAATGGAATCATGGATAACACGGACAATCTAACAGTCGACATATTTGGCGAGACGCAAACGATGTCGGCCCACAATTTTGTCTTTGTCATTGGAAATTTTGAGTTCCTGGGCGAGGTTCCGATCGACGAGACGCCGTTACTGAAGAAACAAGTCATCGGTTATTGGGGCGACGCTGAACACAAAACTCAGGATTTCTATTTGCGAGATAAAATCTCGCCTATAGTAACAGCATACGCGGAATTATTTCAAGGCTTAGCTCGGCCAACTAAAAATCTCAGTCTTGTCGCAATGCCTGTAGACTTTGACGGCCTCTCGGCACCTGGATTGATCATTATCAAGTATGAGAATTATGATTCCCGATGTAAATACTTAATCTCGTTTAAACGGCTGCTCAAAATACATACATACATACACACGCACACACGCACACACGCACACCCGCGCGCGCGCGCGCGCGCGACAACACACACACACACACACACACACACACACACACACATACACATTGCAATCGTATACTTTTATTAATATCCAACATTGGTGTGATGCACTTGTTTGTCTATATGTAAATAAAATATTTTTCGTGCTTGCTCGAATATAGCCAGATATTATTTACTCAATTTTGCCAATGTTAATATTTGATCGTGTAAATCGACTCACGTTCATGCATCTTTTCTTCTCCTGCTTTCAATTATTATAGGGAATCGCTTTTTTACGCTGCGGCTAGTTCCCCATCCTTCTTGAAAACTAAAGCTTTAGTGAGCTTGATCGGATTTTTTGGTCAGCAGTGGCTCGGCGGTTTGGCTGAAGCGAAGAATTGGACCGACGCTTGGTTCATCGAGGGCTCTATTTTATATTTACAGTACGCCCTCATTGACAAGGCAAGTTTCAGAGTTTTTTTAGCAAGTATACAAATGCACTATGCTTGGGTATTTGTTTGAATATTTTCTTTTATTTGTTTATTTGTTTATTGTTTTATAACGTGAACACGAATGGAGATGATCTCATTGTTCCTTCGTTCTACATTCTCTTTTCATTTATGTGTAATTACTATTATATTCATGTATAAATTTCACGACATTTTTACTACGTCGTAATATTATAAATAGGAAAGGAAAATTTTTCGATTCATACTCTACAAACAAGCTTGTTGTTTTATAAATATGAGCAAAAATCAAAGAAAAAACATTATTTTATTTTTTCATTTAACCGACTAACAATTATATAATTATTCATTCTTGCAACAAGACACTCTTTTGACAGTGCAGATTGATCCGAATCTCGAGGTATCCAAAGACTTTTTAATAGACGTTCAGTTGGAAGCTATGGAAAACGATGGTTATTTTCTATCAAAGGCTCTGGATTCAAAAATTGATCGGACTTACATCGAAGCCTTCGATTTGTTTGACAATTATCGAAAAGGTAGGGAACGATATACTTTTAACTGAAATTTATGGCTAAATGCATTATTATGCTTAAGATAACAAAATTTAATATTTCACAATCGCAAATGAGGCTATTTTTTTCTTTTCTTTTTTTTTTTTTGTTTTGTTTTGTTTTTAATATCTTTACATTTAACTGTTTAATAAGTGCTGGAATTCTAACTCCAATTACTCTTGACTACGATTGAAATTGAATTATAATAATTGCATATATGTTATTTAAACAACCAATGGAACATACAATGAATGGATCAATTGTAAATGCTGTGTGATTGTTTAATTTATTTTAAAAGAATCCAAACACGGAAATATCTAAATCCGTTAATGTAATCAAAGCACCTTTTCAAAGCCCACTAATTCACCATTAAAACAATAATACGATAAGTTGGAAAATTTTACATTCCAACAATTGAAAAATTATATTTACTATATGTATAGCTAGTTTGCATGAATACACCAGTAGTATTTGCAATTTATCAATACATAAATGATACCGCTACTCAACACTTGCGTACACGTAATATTTGACAATACTTTAATATATTTTTGTCTTCAGGTGCATGCCTGATAAGCATGTTGAATGACGTCTTAAATGGAAATTCCTTTAGGAGCGGCTACGCTGAATTTCTTCGCCGGTGGTGGGTAATCTTCCTCTATACATTATGCTAGTCTGCAAATATTTCCTCTTTTTCTTTTTGAAATTTAAGCGCGTTAATTCAGAAGAAATGTTTTTCTCTCTTTGATCGGTGGTCGGCAGTCTCAACTGTATTACAGTGGCGTAATTTTGAATTTATATTAAAAAAGAAGAGAAAAGATCTTTTTAAACACGCTGTTTTATTTGACAATATTACGATGACGAGTTTACATTAGTAACTAAAGATGAAGAAATAGGTATATTGTAAAAAAAAAAAAAAAAAAAAAAAAGTATAAGAGAAAATTAAGATAAAATTAAGATAAAATTATTGATATTTTTTTGTTATAAAGATTTAGTAAGTAAATAATTTAAATATTAAAAAGCTGGCTTATATATCACGTCAAGTGTTAAAACTTCGATCATAATATTCTACAAGTAAAGTAAAGCCAAAACCTTAGATTTTCATTGTCTCGATACCTTTTGAATTTCACTTTCTACAGGAGTCGATCCAATTCAGATTCTGATGAGTTTTTGCATGCACTTGTCGGAAATATGACGACCGAGGTTGAATCTACAAATATGACGAAAGCCTTTACCAGCTGGACTCGACAGCCCGGTTATCCTTTGGTAAATGTTACGTGGATTCACGAGAATAGCACGGTTGTTATACGGCAGGTGAGATACCTTTTTTGTTCAGGTGTTGAATTATGTGGATATCCTTTTGCTAACAGATATCTAACAGACAGATATAGATGATCCAAAAACGTGAGAACTCTATCGGTGGATTTGATATGCAGGTCACTTTTTTTTTTATCAAATTGAAATCAATTAATTTGCAATGCTTAATTAAGAAAAAGGTCTCATAAAAATGGACACAATGACTCAACCAGAATTCTATTTTTATACTTTGTCTATTCAATACATACGCCATTTTGTCCTATATATATATATATATATATATATATATATATAGATGTAGAACTTTTTGTCAAAATTATTATAAAAGTACTCTAATTTTTAGTTTTGCACATATTCGTTTTGATGTTTCAGTTGCAATTATGGATCATAGATTTTTGTTAAATTATACCAACATTTTTTATTAGATCTTATGAAAATATGAGGAAAGGATAAAAATCGAAGCTTCGGAAATGCAGACACTTTATGAGTCATAAAAAGCTGATCTAGTCGTTAAATTGAGATTATGCTTATAATCTTCAATCTTTGAAACGGTTCAGTGAAGGGAAATACATGGTTTTAATTATTTCATTAATTGATCCAAAACGGGAAAATAATAAAATTTTGATTGTTTCGAATTCAATTTATCTATAGTAAAATTAGAACAGTTGGTCTTTATAATTAGTTAGTGGAAAAATTTTCTCTGTGATTGGCGCAAAAAAGGTGAATTGGTTTGATTTATTTTTACCGATATTTATATATATATATATATATATATATATATATATATAATTTATAGATTATATACAATGTGTTTGTGTTGTATGTATATACGTACTCCTTCCTTTTTGTCCGTTAACCTTTATCAATAAGTTAGGGACAAGGCAGATATTGCTTTCGTTAGTTACAACGTAGAAATTTCCAGATGAAAATTTTGCGATATAGTAGATATTAATAGTGTCGATTTATGATTTATTCCGATTTTTTAATTTTTTATTCCGATAACCGAGTGTATAACAGAAGTAATGTAAACGGTAAATAATGTTGATTAATAACAATATATTATGAAAAATATATTGAAAATATTAAAAAAATGAAATTTTTTTTTATCTATTACATTCTTGATAGATTCTGCTTGTAAAATATTTGATTAATTAATGTCTTATAATTTAATTACTTCAATTTCAATTTCAATTAATCAATCCAAGTAAAATAATAATACTTGCTCTTCATATTTAAACGGTATGTATAATAATATAATTAAAAAAAAAAAATAAATAAATATACATATATATAAATCTGTGTAGGCCAATCTCTATTGGTATCTATAATTCTCATTTCCAATATAATAAGAGAAAAATATTTAAACAATCGTTGTGAGTCATTGTGTCTCAAAATGTGCACATTATGTACAAATATTATCCACAGTCATCAGCCATTTTTAACGTTTAAATTTATCAATTTAATAATCACACTAAATCTTTCAGTTGCACAATTACATTAATTAATATTAAGCGGTACGTTGATGGAATGCGCAAGCAAGATTGAAAAACCAAATTTCTCTATAAAATATTCTACTTTTGACTTTGACCGTTTCACCGTTTTTTGAATTATCTATAAAGCAAACGAAATCCACAACAATAAATGAAAATACGTACCATAAATCTGTTTACCGATGAAATAGGGGAAGTTCAATTTCGACGAACTGTGGAACAAGGAGAAACGCTCGACTAGTACAGATTTGTGGTGGCTGCCTCTCACATATGTGACTTCCGAGGGCAATTGGTTGAAACCAACAACCATCTGGATGAAGGGCACGAACGAACTTACGCTAAAAAATATTCCATACACCGGTAACAACTCTTGGATTATTGTCAACGTGAACAGGACCGGTGTGTATTACATAAGAATTATTCTCATTCTCTTGTAATATGACAAATTTCATTTTCATTGAATAACAAAGTACTAACGTGAAAGTTTTTGAATGGAAAAACTTATGGTAATTATATTAATAAACGGAGCTTAGATAAATGTACAAAATTAATTGACAATATTAATAAATTTTACGGAATTTTTAAATTATCTTGTTGTTATAACAATTTGCTTAATTTTCAACAGATTGAGCACAAAAACATTATTTAAAGAAACAATACGCTATAGTTCAAAATGAATTTATTTTGTTGTATTCTGCATCGAGTGTAGATTATTAAATGGGAGTTAAGAATTTTAAGTCAAGAAAACGTCAAACATGAAACTATAACGAAAAGTTTATAGTTGTTGATTTTTTTGAATTCGCTTTCAATTTCCATGGATTATGCAATAGAATTTATTGAATGATTATTTTGCTTGTCAATGTATTTGGGAAAATTTGTTCTCACTCTATAGTATTGATGAAAATATTGGTCGGCAAATAATATATTTAATACTAATAATAGAAATAGATATTTTCTATAAGTTGAAAAATAATTAATGATTCGTAAACAAAATTTTTTGAAATGATTTTTTTTTATTTTTTCAAGAAATTATTCTTATTATATTATGCGTCCATCGTTATATTATATATTATATTCTGAGAGTTTGCAAATCCTTTATTTATTCGCATTCAAATTAATCATAGTACTTATTGAGATGACATCGAATTAAAAATATTTTCGACATAACTTGGTCGAAAAGAGCTTGACAATGTTAAAGTCTATAAAACCAATGTTAATAAATGACTTGGCAATCGATTTATTATATTTCTTATTGCTTGTAATACATTTATTATGTTTACATTACATTAGGGATCAAACAATTTAGAAAGTTTCACGACAACGAATAAACATCATACACTTGGATGGCTTTGAAATTTATTTTCTATGCCATTTAATGGCTCTGTTATAACAATTATATAATTATCATATGCTGATGTTAATGCGAGGATGGATAATATTTAATCTTAACTTTATATTAGAATAGCGGGTTATTAAAAGTTCCAAGGTAATAAACATTCATTTGACTCATAAGAACGATATGTATCGTATATATTAAAAGTTGAAATAACCTTCATCAAGGGTTTTAATTACTTTAATATCGTACATAATGTAAAAGTTCATTCACTAGCTCCATTTTCTTCATTTTCATTATTAACTGACCCACCGCGTTCTCCTTTATCCCTCGGGAGCTGACTTAAAGTAGCCGACGCAATGTGCCAGCTTATAAATACTTTTATAATACTCCTAACGAGCTTTGGACGAAGCTTATGGGCAATTTGTGAATGTACCAAGTCAGAAACGATTAATAAAAATCCAATAATCCTTGCGTGTTAAAGCCGCCAAGCATCCTTATTTAAATTTCGTCGAATAAATGCACTCTAGGCTACTTCCGTGTGAACTATGACGCGGCAAACTGGCGCTCGATCATCGACATTCTGCGCACGAAACACGACGACATCCCCATGGCGACAAGGACTTCTCTCGTCGACGATGCTCTCAGTCTCGCCCGTCAGGGCAGCATCTCCTACGAGTTGGCCTTCGAGCTCATCACCTACCTGGGTCCCCATGAGCGTAATTACGGACCCTGGGCCGCGTTTGCGAGGCACGCAAGACAATTGGATTTTGCTCTCTACGAGACCATCGCCTATCCGAATTATCAGGTAGAGAGATTCGACCTCTCAGTTTTAGCCTCTTTCGAGGTTGCTGCACGCTTAGAATCGATAATAAATTTGTGTTCTTGGACAGTGATCGATATAATGCCCGATTACACTTACCCTTACATTTCCTTTCTTTAGAAGTTCATGCGAAATCTCGTAGCAACTCTATTTGACGAAATGGAAGCAAAGATCGACGAAGGCACAGCTTTGGCAATGTTATCTGTGCGATTAGCTTGTACGTATGAATACAAGAAGTGCACCACCTGGGGTCGAAACAAATGGGATGATCTATTTAAAAATAACAATGAGAACACGTAAGGAAAAGGGGCCTTGATATTTTAATGCATGCGTCTTTAATGACAACTAATAAGGTGATAAGTTTTATGATATTATTGTTAAGGATAAATAATTAATGTTATATGTGTGGAGCAAGTCAAGGGGCATATAATTTTCTTTTTTTCTGAACTTAAATTGACAATTTTGTTTTCTTATTTGATGTTTAAGCTATGTGAATTTTTAAGCGTGTGGTGATCGTTTCAGATTATTAAAACATGTCCGCGAGACGGTTTACTGTAGCGGGGCACGAGGAGGAGGTCCAGAAGAATTATCATATTTAATGCAAAAAAGCGAGGAGGCGACCGACATGGACGAGAGGAGCAGATTATTATCAGCTTTCGGCTGCTTTCAGAGTCCCTGGATTTTAAAAAAGTGAGTGCCTTCTCTTTTAATGCGTAAATATTTTATTACTTCTGCATGTTGCATCGCGTGCATCGTGAGTGAAGATACATCATCATTTTTTCATTCAAAGTCGCCATGTCACAACCAGCTACTCCAAAGTTCCGAATGAAAATTTTTGCACCAAGTATCAGATAAAAAAAAATTAAGCTATATTTAAGGGATAAGTAAATATGAAAAATGTAATTATTTCATACATTCAGCTGCACAATTATTACAAGCAAATTATTAATTAATTATTCAGATAATTCGTTATTTCCAATTTCACACGTCACCCTCGAAACATCGAGACAATTAATTTAACTTACTCCTTATTAAGTAACGACTTTTTTAATTTCAGAATACTAGTCGAAGTTCTGAGAACCAATAAATATTCACATAGTGATGTCAAGGTAATATTACAATCGTACGCAAAAAATCCAGCAGCAGCTCAAACAACCAGCAGATTTATTCAAGAACAATGGACACAAATAGTGCAAAGGTAAATGTATGGAGATTAATTTGATTATATTATCGTTAAAGTATTTATAAAAATAATGAATAAAAAATTATTGAGTAAAATTAGTCAAAATGTTTATTCAACATATATATATATATATATATATATATATATATACGAGGATATGAAGGAGAGAAAATTTTTTTGTTTTTAAATAATTGTAAATTGAACTAATTGCAGATTTTCTCGAGGATATGAAGGAGAGAAAATTTTTTTGTTTTTAAATAATTGTAAATTGAACTAATTGCAGATTTTCTAATTCGTATTGGATAATGAAAGCGTTTGTCGAAGCTGCGACGAAATTCCTCTTTACCGAGATTGACTTACACGAGGTAAATATCATTAAATAAATCATTGATTATGTATCAAAATAAAAAAGAATAAAAAAACAACAAAACAAACAAACAAAAACAAAAACCAAAACAGAAAAAAAAGAAAAAGAAAAAAGAAAAAATATTTTTTCAATGCATTGTCCTGTTGCAGTTTAATGTCTTCAGAGATAAAAACATCGATAGCTTGAAGATGGTTGGTCATTGGGTTGCACTTAATGAGATAAAAGCGTTCTCTTGGATCTACAGATTAAAAGAATCCACTGAAAATATTCAGAATTGGCTGAAGAGTCATACGAATTCAACCGTGTAACGCACGCTATAGATCTTTGTTTCATGGTACTCTTAAGGAAATTAAATAGCTCGCGTGTTTGTGGATTTTTTAATTTCTCGTTTCGAAAAACGCTCGAAAGCTCGATAGATTAATTGTAGATCAAGTAACACCGATATTAAATAATGTTTATCTCGAGCTAAAAATTCGATTGTAAGTTGAATGGAAAATATTTCTTTTAAGTTCAGACTGAATCCTCATTCGATCAAATATATAATTTTTAATATTTGATTTGGACAAAAATTTATATAAAGTCGAGTGCAATGTTATTTGAATGAGTTGAAAAGATTTTTAAATTCAAGTAGGAGCGCAAGTTTCAGTCTAAGGATTTTCAAAGCACAATACATTTAGTATTTAGATGAAACTTGGCCTGTCATAAAATTGTTATATATTTCTTAATTTTCTAATAATTTAGGCAAAATGTACTTGGACAGTATAAAATCTATTTATATATATTTATCAATTAGATAATTAAGTATGCGTGGGCTTTAGTACACCATAAAAGTCACATAAATTTTGACATTCACTTGAAAGAAATCTGTATTTATCGCCGTTATATTAAATATTAAAAGTTAAACTTGTATTAAGCATATTGTTAAGTTAAAAATTTTCATTGAGAAATGAGTGAACAAGTTTAATTAATTCCTTGAAAAATTTCAACAATTCTATCTTTAAATTATAAATGTTTGAAAATTCAATTAGTTTACACATAAATGGAGGCAAATCGATAATGAAAAGGCAGTGATAATTAATCTCTAAGTAATTAAATCACTCATTCGTAAAAAAAAAAAAAAAAAAAAAAAAAAAAAAAAAAATAAAAAAAAAAATGTAAAGGTTATTTTTTTTTACTTTTTTTTTTCTTTTCTAAAGATAAAGATGAAAAATAATAGTCGTAAGAACATTAGGTTCTACCACAACAATTTTTATTTCTTCGAATGCTTTATTTCAAGCATAATTATAAAACCAAGCAACAAGTTCTTGTTTCGCTTATTTCCTAGAGCAACGCTCGTCATATAATAATAGTACATATTTAACAAACCTTTATACGATTACGCATAAGAACCGTATCTAACGATCGCATAATTATCATTGCTTACCTTAATCGACTATCGTTTTATTCACCTTCCTTAGCCGCTGTGCGTCATCGCAGTATGCGGTAATTTATTTGTGCACTACAATAATGACATTATGGAAAAAACAGTACCATCAATTTTTATCAGCAATTGCGTAACAATAAACATGGCGTTTGTGTTTCATTTTTTTTTTCTTTGCTCACTTTAATACGGATACGCTGCTTCGTCAACGAAAAACCATACACATAGACAAATACAATGTAACTAGTTGAAAGGAAATTGCCGAAGTCGATAATGATATAGCATCGTGTGTTGAATCGGTTCATTACACACTTCGATCACTGTGTTTGTCAAAAATACGTTGCGAATGATCTCTCTCTCTCTCTCTCTCTCTCTCTCTCTCTGCCTGTCTCTCTTTTCCACCCTCTATCCCCGTATCTACTCTGTCACTCTGTTTCTCAAGCTTCAACGTTCTCTCTCTCTCTCTCACTCTCTCCCGTTTGTGTGTGTGTACGCGACTGTTTTACTTAGAATTTAAGGATAATAATAATAATAATAATAATAATAATAATAATAATAATAATAATAATAATAATAATAATAATAATAATAATAATAATAATAACTGTAACAATGTATATATAATTATCTATAGATAGAGCGCATATCTACATCTATTGTTACATGAATAATCTGCTATTCCTTATTATAATCGTGGTTGCTATCGATTAATGTTAAACACTGTAGCAATTAACATCCCTAATGTCGCTATTGTTTAAGCTTACATATGCTCTATTACATCGTCCGAGTGAAAAAGTCACGAGAGAAGGATATTTATTTTGATAATCTTTAATAATTTCGTGATTTTAACGAGTCGTAAAGTTTTACGACTGTTAATGATAATGAAAGATTTCAGAATACCAATTAGTGGCTCATATATATTCAGTGATGTCGAAGCAAATTTTGAAATTGAATAGGAAAGAAAAGAAATTATCAACCGAATGGTTAAATAGTTGTTAAACGTCTCATCTATTGTTAAAAATATTATAATTACAAAATTTGACTTAGTGCGATAGATAAACTTCATACGTTATTTCTCACTCGGACTCAACAAAATCAATACGAACATGTTCGAAGTGAAAAATGTATAAGACGTGGCTTGGCTTTTACGTCTGTGGTGTCATAAATATATTTTTACAATGAAAAATTATTTTTTAAATCTAACGCATTACATGGATTTCGGTATTTTACTCTGCCTAATTTCCTCCTCTTTTGACTAATGCCTTCGTTTGTAAGAATACCAAGTCAAAGGTATTATTTACATTTTATGTACAATTCTCTACTTGTATATGTGACGTTGTTGAAAGATCGACGGACAGTTTTATGAGGTTACATGCGAGTATGTTATCTTCACTTTTCAATAAATAAGTACTTCATTTTAGGAAATATAAGTTAATATTAGGATGATCGCGTTTCGAGGTAGGATACATAATTCGCCGGGGATCGGAATTTAAAATAAATGATTCTTACAACGAAACCTTTTAATATGAATTAAAGAATTATTTTTAAAAATAATCTTACGAATTAAACAAATTTATAAGTATCTATTTTAAAGTGAAGATATTTTTCATTTTTAAATTTTCATAGTCTTATATGCATTTCAGGTTTTCTTATATTGGTGATATATTTTTGCATTCTAGAAAATATTTGCAGAATGAATTAATAATGATTTTAATCGAAACGCAGTTACGAGACAAAATTCTATAATATTAATTCATTATTTTTATAAGGTATAACTTTGTTGATTTCCATTTCATGATTATTCTAATGTAATGTCGAGCTCCTCTATTCTTAAGCACTTTCAAATTAAAGTTATTCTTATGAAAATAATTAAAAAAAAGAAAAAAAAGAAAGTGAAATATCTCAAGTGGAAATTTACCTAACTTTCTCATTCTAGTTAAAAATAAATATATAAAAGAACTTACTTAAATGTACCTTTTATAAAATATTAAGCCATATAAATTTATTAAATTTAATTTTTTCCATATTTACTATAAATTATAATCTTATGGATATTTGTAATCATGCCATTAAATGTATAAAGAATTCGCATTCAATTTATCTTCATTTAATAAAAGTAATTAATTTATCGTAAACCGAAATGTAAGTGTTAGTTTGAAAGGATTTTTTCAGTTTTTTTTTTTTTTTTTTTATTTTAATAAGATTTTCATTCCTTTATTCTTTGAGGTGGATTGGTCAAAACTTTGTAGCTTCCTATTAAATTTATAACATTTTATATAAAAAAAAAAAAAAAAAAATACATGAAAAACAAATAGATGTTTGTTTAAATTTAAAAGAAGAAAGATAAGGAGCGCTTTTAAATATTATAGCATTATTAATAAGTTTATTTAGAGTATATAACTTGTTTATGACACATATATCTGGAATATGAATTTATAATCCGAGGGTAAATATAAGAGGCAAGCAACTTTTTCTCCTACTAGTCCGAAAAGTTGTAATGAAGGATTCGTTAGGACCTGGCTTATTATTTCAACTTTTAATTTTTCGAACATGTTAGATTTAAGTTTTATTCACATATAAAGGGATGCACGACGTATACCAATAATAATCATAACCACGTATGCCTATGTGTAAGTGATTTTTATACTACGGCCATTATCGTAACAATGCACATTTATGTCTATTGATGTGTAACGATACATTTACACGTGCGTACATTATGAAATATACATACATATTATTCTTATTATATATATATATATATATATATATATATATATATATATATATATATATATATACAAACTGTATGTGTATTCTATTTTAGAGTTATTGTTACTGTTAATCATTATTGTTATTGGCCGTTATTACTATGAGCTATCACTATATTCTTATCTGTATGTTTACTACCACACGTCCGGGCGGATCTCTCTCTCTCTCTCTCTCTCTCTCTCTCTCTCTCTCTCTGATATTTTAAAAGTATAACTTAATGAAATCATAGCTGATGTGCATGTTCGACAAATCATTGTTCGATTGACTTTGTGTTATCAGCTTAGATTTATATTTCTTTTTTACAGATTCCTATTCAGCTTCATGTATTACCTTATTGATCGAGATGTATATTTTTCTTTTATTTAAATTGAATTTAAGAGGATATTTATTTTATTGTTTAACAGCTATCCTTGTTTGGGTGTTATTTTTGTCTCATAGAAATATTGAAAAGTAATTATATCAATGTTTGCAGAGATATATGTATTAAAATTTTTCTTCGCGCTTTGCTCAGTTTAAAAATTGCCGATAAATACTAGTTTATGATCCTTCATTCGTTTTTCCATAAATATATTCTTTATCAAATTCATATTATTATAACTATCAAAATAGTATTTTAAGTAAAAAGTCTTTTATTTTATATTAATTCTATCAATACTTCATCTCAACTTACTCCTAGTACATTTCGTTGAACAAATTATTTGAACAGAATTGAATAACATTGTATTGAATAAGGTCTGAGCTAATCACTTGTTTCATTTCTAAATAGATTCTTTAATTGCTCAATCTTATAATTTTTCAAATGTAGAATGTTAAATGAGACGCGCCGTCGTCACTTATGTAGTTTAATATCGAAAAATATCTCAGGTGCAAGAAAGCATAAATTAATCCTCGAGCTCAGGGCGAGCCTATTCTCAAATTAAGGTTTATGAGCGAAATAAGAACAGAATCCCGACAATACATTTCATAATAATTCTCGGTTAATTAAAATTACCCCACCTCCTACCTAACCTCTTCAATCCCCGTTGTTGCACAACAACGAGCCTCGGATTTATAAATGCACTCAACCTTGAGCTCGAGATACGTCAAGAAGAAACGAGTCCCAGGTCCGTCCCAGCGTCCGCCTATCTATTCCCTTTATTTCGCAATAATTTTGCATGATGAAGTATACAACGAACGACGGTATCGAGCCGGGCCGCGCACATATCGCCATCAACGAAAGCGTCATGGCGCGCGTCACACGCTCATATTCGTCTCTACAGCTATCGGCTTTAGAATTCGTATGCTTTACTTGTTCTTATCGTACTAAAATGCTTTATCGGGAAAATAACGGCGCAACATCGTCGTTGATCAACTGTGCGCGCAGGTCTGCTTATTCACATACGGTCCACGTGCGTGCGTACGTTCGTATTCATTAACTTTTTTTTTTTTTTTAGGTGCATGCTTATGCGTGCGCGCGTGCCTATGAAAATATGCGTTTGTCTATACGTTCGTAAGCGGTGGTATTTTTTTTATCGTTCGCCTTCGTCTCGTTTGCTCTTTCGTTGATTTATTTCCTTAGATTTCAACGATGTTGCGTCGTATTTTTTGCGAATTATACACACCCACGCACCCACCCACGCACACGCACACCCGCACACGCACCCACCCACACACCCGCACACGCACCCACCCACACACCCAC